TTGCATCTTGGAATCCCTGCCTCACTTGATACAGCAAATCTGGCTGTGACGGTCCCACCTGATGACGGAGACTTGTGTTGCCTCCGAAACGTCGTGATTTTTTATTAATTTAATTTTCATTTTTTACCTACGTGACTTTACCGAAAAAACTAAGAGTATACATTTCCACTTGGAACTCTTGCAGTGAGAGGTGCAGCACACTGTGTCAGAGAATGGCCATTGAAGATGTCACAAAGCGACCAATAAAATGTCTTCAGGAGGTGTTTCGCCCATACAATGTTAATGTCTCGTGACACACCGAAAGTTGTTTTAATTCTCAAAGGCGGAATGTATCCAAATTAAGTGCAGAAGTACATTTACTGTCACGAGGTTTTTTTTTTCCTCCTCGCGCGCAGCCGTTGGTGACCGTGCCGAGTCCGGCAACTCGAGACAAGTGCGATAACGCCGGTTAAACGCCAGGTCACGGCTGCAGCTCGGATTCGATCCCAGGAACTCGGCGGCGTCGCCTGACCCCTGGAGCCTCCTGGCCAACGTGACGCCCCCCCCCTCACCCCCCCCCCCCGGTGGAGACGGCCACTCGCTGCGTTGCCGCCGCTGCGTTCCGCGCCGCTGCGAACGTGATCCCGTTCGCTCCGGCCCGAGCAGGCGCTGCGCGCAGCTTAACTTTGACAGCCCGGAGCAGACGACGGCGGAATTACTCTTTCGATGGGAAGCTGTGTGACGGGCGGGGGGGGGGGGGTGATCGGGTTTTGTGGTAGGGGAGTGGGGGGCAGTGGGGGGGGGGGAGTTGGAGGTGCTGGAAGGATTTGGGTTGTCACCTCGAAGGTACATAACGAACCGGGAGATATTGGACAAATAACAGTGGCAGATACAAGGGGGGAGGGATGGAGTTGATTTCCCATAAAAAAAAAATGTTGTTGCTGATATTTACCACGGAAAATTCATTATAACGTTTCTTTATTTTTATTGTTAAGTAAGGGCCCTGTTTGAGAGCTTGAAATTAACTTTGGGGACGACGACCCCCCCCCCCCCCCCCCCGCACTTCCACCACCCCCCCCCCGCCCGGGAAGTCTTCTACATATCTACCTCTGAAGACAGACGACGATCCTACGATGGTGGAAGAGGGGAGAGCTACGTGCAAAAAGCATCGTCTTGAGAGGCGCTCCGCATCACTTTACACTCCCGACCAATTTTGGGAGCGTCACCGTCACAGCCGGAGACTCGCAGATGTCCTCGGGACAGCTACCCACGGCGGCGGCGGGGACGGGACGATCATGGGGGCATCGACGACAGTTTGGCAAAACACTGGGGGAGGATCTTGAAAAAGGGGTACACGTGGAGTGGAGATACGGGGATGGCGGTGGGGCAGTCGGCGGAGGGAGACGATGTGAACGATTGAGGGAGGAATGACTGACGAGAGGAGGGGGAGGGAGGGGGAGGGAGGAAAAGGGGAAAGCGAGAGAGGATAAGGGGAGAGTGGAGGAAACAAGACGGATGCGGAAATTGGTTGAAGTAAGGAATACGGGCCAACAGACGTGTGGACGTCTGATAGGAGGCGATGAAAGAGGGGGAGGTATTGGAGTTCACAGAGGGGCAAGGAAACCGATAAACAGCTGTTGACAAAGGCAGGGGGAGGTGAAGAGAGGTGGTCGTGTGAGGTGGCTTAGTGGGGGGAGGAGAAGCACAGAGCGCTGGGGAGCGGTGAAGGCAGCGACCCGGGGGGTGGAGGTGACTGACCCTATTTTTGTTGGCTCCGTTACCCCGGAGGATGGGGGAGCCCGATTGGGAGCCCGGAGATCAGGGAGCCAGAGCAGCGCCATCAATTATGACGGTGGTGCTGGCCAGGCACGGCGCGGCCGCCTACTCGCCTGGACTCCGCTTAACCCCGAACATACCACCAGCACCACCACACCAGCAGCAGCGGCTGCGGCGGCGGCGGCACCGTAGGGGTGGGCAAACGGGGGACGCCGCTAGGATGCAAAGCCGCGGGGAAGCACCGCGCGCCAGAGGTCGCAACCGGGTACCCGATACCCGTACCCTACCCGATACCCGGCTACCCGTACCCGGCCGGGTACGGGTACCCGTTTGCGACCCTGGTGCGGCCGGGTACGGGTAAGGAATCAAAACCCGTTTGCGACCTCTGCCGCGCGCTGGTTGGGTTGAGAGCGGTGAAAAGACGTTACCCGTTCATAATAAAGGGGGTTTTTTGGCGTTAGATCGCGCAAATATGAATGCGTCGTAACCCTCCACCACCCGACACAGCCGATTAGTAAGTTAGATACTAACTTTAGCCCACCGGTGTGTTGGGAGAGCAAATTCACAACATTTACAATTTGAGTAGCACGGCGTTTCGCCGGTAATTATATCCAGCATCATCGGGCGATTTGACAAATCCCTTACGAATTGGCTGTGTCGGGTGGTGGAGGGTTACGACACATTCATATTTACGCGATCTAACCCAAATACCTTTATTATGGATAATATCGGTTATGAAAGCCTACCACGTGTTAAACAGACGTTACCCGATTTGCATCATAAAGCGCGCACACGTGATTGAGTCACGTGGTGGGTAACACACGATGACGAATTGCGGCGTTATTACCAGAGGACGACTTTACAGAGGCTCGAGGTTTTTTTTTGTGCGTTCGAACCCAAGGGCGATATTTAGGTGACCTCTGGGGCGTGACCACCTCTGCCACCATCGCCGCCATCACCACGACCTCCACCAATAATGAACAAAGAACAGAGATCCCCCGTGTAGCCTTAACAGGCTGTTGGGGCAAGTGCTGTTAGCGAGCGCCTATGAAGGCCGGCACGGCACACGAGGGGGTGGGTGGCCAACACCACGCCCGGCCGCCTTTGTCTCCCGAGTGGAAATGTTTTTAGACATCGTACTCGGCACTCATTTGAGACCGAGTCGACCTAGGGGAAATCCAGGACCGGTTAAGATAAACGTCACTGGTGTTGGCCACGAGCGCTAATCGAACCCGGGTCGCCGGGTTCGTAGCGCAGCATGCTAACCGCTACACCACCGCTCCCCACAACGCAATACCGCTACCATCATCACCTCCACAGGCTGGTCCACCAACTGCCACCATCACCATCGTCATCACCAACCACCACCACAAAATTATCGCATTACATTGGTATATTAGTCATTCTCAACCTATTATACGCATTTAGATCGAGCACCTTTATACGCGAGTCGCGGCGTGGGTCGGTGGTTATCAACACACCACCACTCCCGGTGTATATTTTACCACCGGCAACCGGGATGGTGAAGTGGCCCTAGCATGGTTCTGGCCTCACCATGGTGCCTCGCCGTGCCGGCGTCAGAGACCACAAACTACGACCAAATTGATCCCCAGGCATGATTATTCTTCCCCACCAAAAGCCAACAATCGTCGATATCTGTATGTATGTTGAACTTCTTTCGCACCGTACATAGCCAACCGTGCTGATCGGAGGTGCGTGTGTATGTTGATTCCCCTTCTGAACATTGGAGCCTGTTAATTTTTTTGTATAACTCTCATTTTTCTTTTAGAGAATAGAAAGTCTCTAACCCATGTTAAGTTCAACTCAAACCTGAGTGTTACGACCACTTTCCGCAGTTATTGGGAAATAGTTGCTTAGTCCAGGTTCAGTAAAATTTTATTTTTTTATTCCCGTCATGGTGTGGCATTTGCCAATAACAACCTGGAAATCCAACAGCATTTGTTTAACCCAGAAGGTTGAAACCCGTCAACAGTTTTTCCTTAAACATGCTGCTGGATAACAATATTGGTTTGGAATACCAATGGGCTAATGGAATAAAATATATTCTATCACATGTGGGAGTCTTCTTATATTATGAATGCTGGTCTTAACTTAGTCCTAAGCATTGACCCCGACCACGAGGGTACAGACGTCACTGTTGGCGACAAATATTTTCTGAAAATTTCTTGGGGTGAACAAATCTTGGAGCGGACCGGTATTCATTTACACACCAGTCAACAGAGCTCTATAAACATTTAATTTTATTTTACCAGGTAAGGCCCGCTGAGCTACGTAGCTCTTTTTCAGAAGCGACTTGGCCACAAATGACTGCGATGATGATGACACCGCAAACTACAAATATACAGCAGGTGTCAGGGTCGGGATCGAGCCCACGACCTCCTGTATACCAGGCGAGGTAGTTAACATCTCCTAGCCACTGCGATGATGACACCGCAAACTACAAATATACAGCAGGTGTCAGGGTCGGGATCGAGCCCACGACCTCCTGTATACCAGGCGAGGTAGTTAACATCTCCTCGCCACCGTGGCGGCCTGACGACACCATCTCTGAAGTCAAACCGGGCTAATGAGGAAAGTCGGCGAATGAATATAAATACGGCCACCCTTTTTACCACTTACCCCATAACCTTATTATAAAGATTTAAGATGCCACGTTCCTATTATTATTACGAGAAGCGAGCATTGCATTATATTTCCATTCAGGGATGACCTTTACCAAATGAAAGCATCAGGGTAGAGAATCGCTAAACAGTTACCTCTTTAGATCAAGCAGGCGGCTCCTGCTGAGAGCGAGCTGGTGCTGAGATTCACACAAGGCGCTTATACTCCCTATAAAATATGTCAATTCCACAGTCGAGTGAAATGGGACCACCTGCACACCAAAAATATAGTCAGAACAATAATGCCCTTATATGCTTGGTTCTTTCGGGAAAGTCACGTAGAAGGGAAACAAAAAAGTAAAAATAAATACAATTCTCACGACGTTTCGACTGCAACACAAGCAATCATCATCAGGTGTGAAAAACAAGCAATCGTCATCAGGTGTGTTTTTCACACCTGATGGTGATTGCTTGTGTTGCAGTCGAAACGTCGCGAGAATTAAATTGTTTTAAATTTTTATTATTTTATTGTTTCCCTTCTACGTGACTTTACCGAAAGAACCAAAAATATGAATCCCTGCAGTCACGAAAGCTTTCAATCGAAATAATGCCCTTTATTACGTGCGAGTCCTCGCCCCTTCAACTTTTTCCAAACCTCAATGTCCAGCGCGATGAAGTGTGGTCTCATAACCCCCAATGGTCCACGCAGCATGTGGAAGCCAGAGAACGCCAAAAGGTCAACAGCACAATACCAATGCACAAATCAGAGCATTTCTAGCTCGGGGTGAGCAGCTATATCATGGGACCTTTTTTTTCAGTATCAAAGAAGGAAAACTAAGAATCGGTTTTACCCTTTCTGGCATTAAAGCACGAGGTGTCAAGGTGCTCTAGGCCATAAAGAAAGCTGTCTCTGGTGTGGGCCAATCAGTTGCAAAGACAATGCATACATTGTGGTGAACATGCAGACTTGATTCCTGGCAAAAGGTTTCTATTTGGTGTTTGAACATCTTAACACCACCTGTTTTATTGCCACAAAGGGTCAAATCTATTCAGATTTTTCATTCTTTGATACTGGCAAGAAAATATTCCATATGTGGAGGCCGTCATCCATCAGCACATTGATAAAGGGTTGCCATTTATTTTTCAACTAAATCCCGAGTCTCTTAGACTTTTGTCAGGAGCGTCGTTCCACGTTTGGATGTTTGGTCAAATCCATGAAGGAGCGTTTTGGCTTCGTGTGGGAGGAAACTGGAGTGTCCAGAATACAACCCGTGCATTTGAGGTAGTAACGCTCAAAACTCCGCAACAGATAGATTGAATATTCTATTGCAACCTTCCAGGCCATCGCAACAAAACCCAATTATTCCCAGACAGTCTTCCTGTTCCAATTAGTAAGCAGGCTCAACCGCGCTCGAGATATTCCGAGATCGGACAGATTATTACTTCTACTTGGTCATCATAGGCAAAAAGATGATATAGATGATTTCGGAGTACCTGTTATATAGCTGGCGCTGTGCGCTCATTTCAAGCCGAGTGAGGGCGATATATGCAAATCAAAACGCGTGAGTGATGACTTTAAAAAAGAAAAATCAGAAAAATAGTTTTGTAGACAAAGTATATTTTAAAATCACGTGCTGTATTTACAGAATTTGACGGCTTGCGGTAAAGCATTAAACAAAGACACCCACCACGGATAAACGAATGCACGTTAGATACAGACACTTCTGCGATAAATCAAGTCTTGTTTTTACGTGGCGCTTTCTTTCCGCTGGGATACCAGAAGAATTTACGATCATTACACACAGAAATTGTGCCCGTACACCAACGTAAAACACATTTATGGTCATTTATAAGCACACAAATCACACGTTGTATAATAACCTAATGGTCAATAATGCATGCATCTCTGCCTCTTGGTTAAAATATACACACTACATATAGTTGTCAGAGACACACGGGGGTGGAGTGGGGGAGGGTGGAAACTTTATTGGTGTCAGGTTCTGCAATTTTCAACAATAAAGGGACAAGGCCCCCCAAAGGCTGCGGCTCAAATGCCCAGACACCACCACCGCCCTCATTATGGAACAATGACCTCGGGAGCTTGTGAAAGCTTGGAATTAGAGCTGGGATGATGAGCCAATTGAGTCCATGAATGAATTAAAATTAGAATGGTCAATTCTTTTGGGGGCCCCCCCCTTTAAAATTGGCGGTCACCCAGACATCCCCCGCCCCCCAAGGCTGATAATGCCGACATCGCCTTCACCACTAAGCTCCGACCCATCACCTACCGTCCAGCGGCACATGTGGGAACAAGAGACGAGACTTTTTGTTTCCCCCCCAACCATTTCGTAGTGTCCGCTTGGTCGAATATTTGGTAGAGGAATCGATTTGCTGTTGTATCTATCGGACCCCGTGCCCATACTGGACATCTGTGGACAAGAGCTTCATAAGATTATCGGATTCCTCCATCTCCTGCAGTCTGAAAATACAGATTCTGACGATTCTGAAATAATGGGAGAGTCGAGCTCTACCTGCAAATGGACCGGGACAGAAAGAGGAGCACATCGTGGATGAGAGAAGATAAGCCAGGTTAGAGACATCGCATCGACTTAAGCGTTAAGCGAGTGTGAGCAGGACGTGTTCGCCGGAGGGGAATGATGACCGGCGGTCGAGAGCGATTCTAGAGTGGCAGCCAAAGGGGAGGAGGGGGGGGGAGGAAACCTGATCAAGAGGTAGGGTTGCAATCTTTTGAAGTACAAAAGCAAACGTTACCACGGGAATAAGAAGAATATCTCACATCACTGGCAGGGAAGGGGATAACTTAATGTTAGCGGGTTTACTTAAGTGCTGATGTAACCAGGACATTTAACGTCGTGGGAAGACTTTACAGATCTCCCAGGATGGCCACCTCATGAAGAGGATGATCCTGGGACACCAAGGACACGTGGCAATCCTAACGAGAGGAAGTCCACCGCAGTGATGAAGGTAGCGATGGGAATCGACCACGTGCGTGCACGAGCCGGACTCCGCCCGATCATCGCGAGGCCGCGACAGAGAGGCCTCCATCCAACAGTGGATAGATCATGGCTTATGACGACGACGACGACGACGATGACCGTGCCCATCCACACCTCGGCCCGGCGAGCGCTCAGAGACTCGCCTGCATGGTCTCGGCGGCGTAGGGGTTTCTGGGGGATCCCCGCAAGGGCATCGTGGTTCGACTGTAGGGCAGTGGAGCATGGGCCAGACCCAGGTCTCCCCTCGTCATCTCCTGCCTCCGCAGGCTCTGACGCAGTTCCAGGTTTTCCTTGCTCATTGTGCTCAGCTGTACGTGGGAGCGTGCGTGTGTTTGCATGGAGGTGGTTACGTGTAAGAGTGTGAGATCGTGCGAGCGCGAGTGCATATGCGTGAGAGAGTGTGTGTGTGTGCGCGAGTACGATTGCGTGGGTGTTCGCGTATGCGTGCGTGCGTACATATGTACGAGGGTGTGTGATTTTGTGCGAGTGTGTGTGTGAGAAAATACAAATGAGAAGGTAAAATCGCACAACAATAAATGCATTCTTGAATCAAATGTCCAACCCTGATTGTGAAAATTCATCAAAGAAACGGAATGATGTATCTGTTTTCATTGGCCACAATTAGATTTTTTTTGCCATCAATATTTATGTGAGTGTGTGCCAATGTATAGCGCTACGAACCCAATAACCCGAGTTGAAAACCAACTCGCAGCCAACACATCTGAAGGCGATAGGGGGATGTTGTGTCTTTGCTGTCTTTGTGAGTCTACGCGAGTATGTTCGTACGTGTTTGGGGAGCGGTGACGCAGTAGTTAGCGCACTGTGCTTTGTACCCGGCAAGCCGAGTTCGATTACCGCTCACAACCAATGTCAATGGTAAATATATAAACTGGTCCAGGGCTTCCCCACGGTTGAACGAAGTCTTCAATGAGTACCTGGTGCTGCTGTGTGTAAACATTAGCACTGGAGAGACAAGGGCAGCCAGGCGTGGTGTTGGTCACCCACCCACCCATCCTTTATTAGGTGCTCGCTAACAGCCCTCATCTCAACATTGTATTAAAGTACAGCTCTAAGGGAGACCTTTGTTGTGGCTGTCTTTGTGAGTGTACATATGCGTGTGTGTTAGTAAGTGTGCGATTTCAACGCAGGTTTCGTTTCATTCCATAACCGGGACAATCTGTATGAAGTGACAAAATAAGACAGCAGGTTTTTTTTCTTTCCAGCAGTCATCGGTGATCGGGCTGCCGAGACCGTCAACTCGCGACGCTTGTGAACCCCACTGAATCGTGGGCTCAATGCGCCGAAACACCCCCATAATTCACGCCCAGCCATCTCTCCCACTCACCTCCCAAAAGGCACTCAACAAGCTGAATCAAGTGTCCCTGACCTAAAGCATCCAACGCGGAGACGGAGCGATGGGCTCGCCCCATGTGGTCCGTTATGTCGCGTGACCCTCAAAAGGGTGGGGGGGGGGGGGGTGGCAACGGCTGCGGGTGGCTTCCATCCAGCAGTGGATCGACCATGGCTGATGATTACGTAAATACCGGGCGTAGGGCTGGGTGGCGCAGTGGATAGCGCACCGCACTAGGAGCCTGGTGCACCCGAGTTAAATTCGAAGACAAGGCTAACATCGGTGGAGCGATATATGAAGAGAGGTTATGGGTCCCTCCCTTTGCTAACACACACTCGACCACCGTGGTGAAGTATAGTCAAAACAAGTCTGATGACTGTCACGGTGCGAGACCTTCACCCGGCAGTGGGTTGACAAAGATCCGCGCATTTATTTTAAAGATGTCGATATCAACATGGTTAGGTATACAAACGTCACGTGCCTCTCAGCTGCCCCCACACGCACCTGGTCGTTGAGCTGCTGGGTGACCTGGATGTGAGACCTCAGCCGCCCGTGCATGTCCGTCGCTACGGCTGCCTTCTCGGCCAACTCCAGCTCCTGCTCGTGCCTGAGCAGACACACCGTAGCACCGCACCGCTCAGAATCAGAACATTGTTTTCATGCTGAAGGAATCCGATGAGCTATAAAGCTCTTCTTCACAGATGCCTAGTAGTTTCACAGGTGGCGGCGGGGCTCAGATCAACAACTCGCAACAACCGCGAACCCGATTTATAATTGGTTTCTTTTGGGTTACAACAAACGATACAAAAGCGCAATAGGATTGCTGGCCCAGGGCACGGCACGGCTCAACACCAAAGCTTAATAAACTTATGAGAGGCTCAACCCGGCACACGGCGGAGTGAGCTGTCAGCTGCATCTGCTGTTGCAAAGCCACAGCGAGTGCCAACTCTGGCACTGACTCTCCCCAATACTCATAGGCTCCGCCCACAGCTCAGGTAGCTCCGCCCACAGCTCAGGTAGCCCCACTACCTAAGGTAGCTCCACCCACTACTGCAGTTCTGACCACCACTCGGGTAGCTCCGCCCACAACTCAGGTAGCTCCGCCCACGGCTTAGGTAGCAACGCCCACTACTCAGGTAGCTCCGCCCACGGCTCAGGTATCCCTGCCCACTACTGCTGTTCTGCCCACCACTCGGGTAGCTCCGCCCACTATTCAGGTAGCCCCGCCCACTGTGTAGGTAGCCACACCCACTACTCATGTAGCCCCGCCCACTACTCAGGTAGCCCCGCCCACTACTCAAGTAGCCCCGCCCACTACCCAGGGAGCCCCGCCCACTACCCAGGGAGCCCCGCCCACTACCCAGGGAGCCCCGCCCACTACTCAGGTAGCCCCGCCCACTATTCAGGTAGCCCCGCCCACTACTCAGGTAGCCCCGCCCACTACTCAGGTAGCCCCGCCCACTACCCAGGTAGCCCCGCCCACTACCCAGGGAGCCCCGCCCACTATTCAGGCAACCCCGCCCACTACCCAGGGAGCCCCGCCCACTATTCAGGCAGCCCCGCCCACTACTCAGGTAGCCCCGCCCACTATTCAGGTAGCCCCTCCCACTATTCAGGTAGCCCCGCCCACTACCCAGAGAGCCCCGCCCACTATTCAGGTAGCCCCGCCCACTATTCAGGTAGCCCCGCCCACTACTCAGGTAGCCCCGCCCACTATTCAGGTAGCCCCGCCCACTACCCAGGGAGCTCCGCGACCTTTGCTTTGCATCATGAGTCGAGGGGACAAAATCCACCCCTCGACTCGTGCGGGACACTGGAACGGACTCTCCGAAATCACCGCCAGCTGCGACGTCTGTCGACTGGAGTGACGACGCGACGCACCGCCAGCCTGCGCCGCCGTACGGCAGCTACCCGCCAGCCGCTTGGGACGGACGCGGCGCTTGCACGCCACGTCAACGCACGTTCCAAACGCGCGCGTGTCGCAGCGGTAAAACTAAGTTTCCAATGGTAGGATTTGACGACGATATTGTTTGCCTGTAAAAGGGGGCATTTTAACGAGCGGGCTACTCATTGCATTTCAGATTTTATGCTCACCGCGTATCATCAAATTCATCATCATTATTTTTACAACGCCTGTCAAAAAGAACGCAGCGTTCAACAGCTAATAGGCTCATTTGCTAGACGACTGGGCACTTTAGAGCGGCAATTGTTTCAGGGCAAATCTTCAGTTTGCACACTTAGGGTAATTTGTGCCTTCAAGGGCTGACTTGCAGAGCTGTGCTGCTATGTGATGGCCTTATGTCTTTCGGTTTTTTTGCGCGTCCCCATGTGGCACACTGGGCGTGCCGTTGGACCTGTCAGACTCTGTGCTTTCGTCTTTCGCATTTGGCCGATCTGCGTGTCTCTTTTGCATTGAACGCACCCCCGGAATTTGCACGGAGTGCTCTTGCCAATAACATCTGGTAATCCAGCAGCCTTCGTTTAACAAGCCTGACTCTGCTGACGAGACACGGGAGGTTGAAACCTATCCAGAGTGCGATCTCGTAAACTGTTCTGGAAAGCGAAAAAGACCGATGGACTAAAACATATCTTTACAAGGAGACACACAATGGAGTTCTGCTTATATGTGCGGCAGCCTATGTGTGACCTCGTGAGATCTTTGAAGCTAAGCAGGATTTTGAGTCCGGTTAGTGCTTGGATGGGTGACCTCCATGCACAGTCGGCAACAGCCTGTCACCTGCTGGGCCATGTTGCGGGCAGCAGCGGATAGTGTGGCAAAAATCTATCGTTGTCCTGTACGTCTACGCTCTCCGCCTTCACCAACCTGCACTGCCCGTGGCGTATGTATGTATGTTGAACTTCTTTCGCAGCGTACATAGCCAACCCTGCCAAACAAAGGCGCGCCGTAATGGTCAAACAACCCCCACGACCCGCATGGCGGTAGGGGAGGCCCTTATCCAGCAGTGGATCGGCAAAGGGCTGCATAGACATACGTGGCCTGCGGCCACACTTAATAGGATTTGGCTTTGGTGGGCCGGGCTCGATGAGAGACGGCACCAGGGCGCTGCGGAAGAGACCCACTCTTGTTTGTGAAGTCGCGAGCGAAGCTGCGTCACCACGGTCTCCTGCCGCTCCACCTCGGCCTGCGGACGCACGGACACACGGACGGACACGCGCGCGCACGCATGTCAGACTCGGAAGTAGTCACCTGGCCATTGTGTGCCCTCTTGCTTCGGCGAAATCGGCCGTTTATCAGGATCTGAGGGTGAAGCGTTCCAGCGATTTGAAACGCACGGATTGCGTCGGGCTCGCCGCTCTCCCCGGCGGTGGAGGGGCAGCCGGTATCGACAAATCTTTCAGCCGGGCGGCATCATTGGCAATCGATCGATCAATCAAAAAAAGCATTTATTTATAGAGAGCCTCTTCGTGGGCAATCTCGCATACAAAAAAAAACAAAGTGCCGCACTCACAAACGCAGCAAAATATGAAAGCATCGGCCAGTCTGGATATGGCTCGCCAAGAACAAAATGTTCCCTAATAATGAAGGTCAATAAGAACCCGGGGACAATTGCAATCAATGGCACAGCACTCGTGCAGTGATTAAAGGACACAAAGAAACTTTTTGTTGTCGTCGTTGTTGTACCTCTGCGGTCAACAAACCCATCGACTGTTCTTTCGCAAACTCGGGTTTGCTATTTCTCCCAATTTAATCAAACTCAATTAATTTCCCGGTCACCCGCCAGCGCGTTGTTCAAACGGCCCGCGATGTGTCAACGTCGTGAATCGTTACGTTTTGCAAACCCACCGATGTGATTTATTGTTTGGCGAGCGGACGGGCGCCAGAGGAGAGGGGGGACGCGTTTTTTGCCTTGGGAACCGGGCCGCGGTGAGACGGGCCGTGGCGGTGGATTGTGGGTAAACATGCAAGGCTACGGCTGTGGCACGGTAACGTTTTGAGCAAGGGAAGAAAATATATTTCAACGGAAAGATCGTGGAATAAGACGCGGTTGGTGCCACCAACAAAAAACTACCTTACATATACATAAACTACGTAAATATATTTTTAAAACCGTTCAAATAACCCTTTAAAAGTTAAAGACAAATAATTTAAAGCAGGAGCTAATGAAGTAATGTTATGTACATTTGAAATTTTAAAGATGAAAATAAAGCAAGCACCTAATGTAGTGCATTTCTACGGCCATATCCGATCTGGTTTTATCCAGTAACTTTATTCAAATTCGTGATTGTCATAATCACAATGACCTCTGGGCCTCTGTGTCAAAACGGTAGTGCCCATTAGCGATGCGTCACCACTGCCACCACCTTTGCTCGCTCCAGGTCGGCCCTACAGCTCTCCAGCTCGCCACTCAGAGCGGCGTTCTTCTGCGCCAGCAACTGCACGGTGTCCTGCAGGTGGCTGTGGTCGGGACGGAGAGAGGGTCGCAAGGGGGGGGGGGGGGGGGTGAGGGGAGAACAGGAGGCAGAAGTGAGAATGTGCAAGCAGGTGTTGTGAGCGTACGGGAACACACGCGCGGAGTTGGCGAAGCACACTTGGGCGGGTTTTTGTAAAGTTGTGGGCGCTGCGATAAGGAAATCGCTTAATAGATACGCTTCTGTGGCCGTCTGAAATGCTCTTCTTTCTGATATTGCCACTGGAGCTGTGCACTTTTAAATCATCTAGAATGAAAACTAATTTCTTTGGAACTGCTTTTTGGTTTAGTTTGTTGTCCTTCCCCCGCAGCTCCGGTTAGCATGGTTGGCGAACGTACGATGCGAAAAAAGTTCAACATGCGACCATGGCTAGCCATCGAACAAAGACGGTCAGAGCATCGCGCGCTTTCACATGCGTCTGTGGCCGTCTGGAACGCTCTTCCTTCTGATATTAGGAAGCCACTGCAGCTATGCACTTTTAAATCTAGTTCAAAAACTCATTTCTTTAGAACAGTTTTTTATGTTTCGTTTGTTGTCCTTCCCCCCCCCGCACCTCCAAGTAGCATGGTTGGCTACGTACGGTGCGAAAGAAGTTCAACGTGCATGTATAACATCAACGTTTAAACGTTTGCCGTGAAATTTAAACAGGCCCGCTCTAGTCCCCCCCACCCGTGGGACAGGAGCATTAATTGTTCAGCGACGGAGTTAGCGATGGTGTTCAAGCATAACTGAAAATTTAACTCACCATGTTTTTTCGTTAACTCTACCATAGAGTGAATATTATGCAATAGGCTGACAGGGCTCAATGAATGAATTGTTAGCAAGAAGAGCTTTTGCCCATAAACGTGAGCCTGTTGTGTATTTTGTTCCATCCCGTTGTGAGCAGGCATGAGTGAAAAATACGATTTGTCAGTTCTAGAGTCCCCACATATGTATGGGAAAATAAGAGTTTATTTTGACCTATTTATTATCTATCTATCCAATCGTGGACCAGATTGCTGTTCAATCACAGAGCTTCCTTGAGTTTCAGTTGATGAAATTCTAAGGAGCTTTGCTACTTTAGTTTTCCTGCAGGGTTAAGGTGTTCGGGGTTAGGGGTTAGGTAGAGTGTTAGGCTTTTCCTGTCTCGAATCTGTCAGTGCAGCAGTCTTGGCCCTTTTTTTAAAGATAGAGCAGAAAGAACACGTGTCGATTTGAGGTGGCCCACGAGCTTCAATTGCAACCCAACGGCCGCCCAGGCCTGCGACGATAACGGTTAATAACGGCGGGCGGCAATAATAACGATGATGCCCATTAACGATGACACTGATTGAGCACGATTAGGGTGGCCGACTATGACATCCGATGGCACAGAGGCAGGGGGGTGGGGGGGGGGGAGCGGCGGGGGAGGTGCAGGGGACACCGCTCCTGATTGATGCCGTTGACATTGGCGAAGGTCACCGAGCGGTACGGTGGTGGCGGTGGCGGTGGCGGCGGTGGATGCATGGCTGCCACGGACCCACGCTGCGGTGAGAGATAACCGCGGGTTGACCGCGCGGCGCCGAGCGGCGGGGGGGGGGGGGGGGGGGGGGGGGGGGGGGGCTTCTTACTCCCTCTGTGCCGTCAGCGCAGAGATCTCGCGGCCCTGCTGCTTGACTTGGCCGCACAGTTGCTCGTGAGCGCTCCTAGGGAGACACGCACAAAGCCCGGCGCAGGCCACACCAGGATGGGCAACCCCTTCTCGCAAAGCATCCGGTGCCACACAAGTGCCTGGCCTACGCATCATCACAATGCACCGATGTGTACTCGCATAGCCCGTCGATCAATCCACTGCTGGATGAGGCTCGCCACAGAGTCGCGTGGATTAACTTGAGCACGTTTCGCCACGCTGGTCGGTTAGGGCGATTGATTTAGCTGTGACTGGCCTCTGTTCGGTAGCGCCTGGCAACATCTGGTGGGCACGGCGATCGCCCGTCAAAGCACCGTCCAGGCACAACCCTGCTTATGTGATCTGAGAAGATTGGGTGGATCGAGGGTGACATTGACATATCGGCAATGACACGTACAATCGCACTGTGTCTCTACCCCAACCTAACCATGCAAGCATGCACGCAATACTAATGCTGCGTCAGTGTTCAAGATCGTGCTCTATAGCTGTCCGATGTGTGTTCGGGTCATACCGCGCGTTGTTCGGCATGTCCGACGTTTCGCTCCTCGTGCCGGGAGCCTCTTAAGGAACCAACTCAGTTGCCCAATAATCAACCAAAGCTCCCAGCACATGGGAAGAAACGTGGCACATGGTGCTGACGCAGCAGGCGAGGTGCACCCCCAGAATACTTCAGAGAGACAAGTGAACCTGAAGGCGGGACCCCAGGGTTTCCATCAGCCCCCGGCTCTCGCATAAACTGCGTTGCGACATCATTTTGTGTCTGTTGAAGGCGAACGACAAGGCAATCTATTCCTCTCGACGAGCTCTACACGACGCGCTAATCAAAGTTTTCTTTCTTCTGCGCATTCGCCCTCGCCGCTGCGGCTGGACGACACTACGACAGAATGATCCGCGCCAGGTGGGTCGCGGCGTTTGTGTGCGCGGTGGCACGGAGTCACCAAAAATAAATTAATTGCGATTTTGACTTCCGTTTATTCGGGACCCCGGGGTCCCGCCATAAGGTTCACATGCAGCCACCTGGTTATCTCTCCATCTCCCGAGGATCGTTACGCAATAACGCCGCACACCCATCTATCGGAAGCTTTAATCTACCTGGGTGGGAGTGTACGAAGGCGAGATCACGATTCTCAATGTCCCCCCAATTGGACGAGTCACGTGGCAGGTCGCTAACGTGTCCGTAAGACTGGCTCACAAAGGCGCGCTTATGCACACACACACACACTGGGGAAAATGGCCAAATCGGATTTGCGAGGCATGCCAGCGTCCGGCGTGGCCAAAGCGAATCATCAAGTGATTAATAGTCTCCTGCGCATCTTGGACACATGCACACAAAGACAAATATCCCCCGTATAGCCTTAACAGATTGGTGGGGCAAGTGATGTTAGCGAGCACCTATGAAGGTGGCGGCTGGCCAGCAATACGTCCGGCCGCCTTTGTCTCATCGGTAGCGATGCTAACAAATCGCACCAGGTACTCACTTTAGGCTGAGTCTGCCTAGGGGAGGCCCGGACCAGTTTCAATGTTCGCCACGTATGGCGAGTTAGTGCTGACCGAGTGATGCGCTAAGCGTGGCGAGTTAGTGCTGACCTCTGCTGGCTTCGCTCCACACTGCGATCGCCTGGCAGTTCGAGTGCACAACACTCCGTACATATGAATACGCTGAACCGAGGGTGGCGTTTAATAGGCGTGCATCTATTCACCGCCCCGTCAGCCGTTCTCGATACCATGAAGGCCGGCGACAGTGTGGGGAGGCCTTCACCCAGCAGTGGATAGCACAAGTGAGCAGACACGGCATTTGGCCGGTGCTGGATGCTCGCAACAGATGGGCCCACAAAGTGGACGCGTATCTGCCATCCAGTCGCGAGCAGGCGCGCGACCGTTTGCCCACGGCAAGAGATGGAGGCTACTTCCAAGCGTCGATCCTGCTCGGCGATCTGCAGCGCCGTTGCGACCCCGAACGCGCCACTCGTCCGGACATGGACACAGATTTTGGAGGCGGCCGCGTCGTGCGACATTCAACAGACACTCGCTTTGCACGACCGACAGCTCGGGCGCGGCGGGCACGGCGTCTTGCCGTCGGGTGTCCGCGTCGGTGCGCGCGTACCTTGCGTGTGTGCGTGCAGGGAAGTTTGGTGGGGGGGGGGGGGGTTGGGGGGGGCACGTGATGCGACGCCGAGAGAGTGCCGAGCGACGCGCTCACCTCTGCTGCGACAGCCAGCCCTGCACGCTCGAGATGACCTGCTCGCTCTCCTGGTGGAGCCGAGACCCGTCGCTCCGTGCCGCCAACAGCTGCAAGCGTCCGCACGCATCGCAGGCACCCGGCGGTCAACCTTCACGGGCACCGGTCAATTACTGCTACCCACCTTCACTTTCACCCCCCCCCACCGTCAATCAATCAATCAATCAGCACGAGCCAATGCGGTGCCGTCAATCGAACGTCATTATCCCCATCATCCTTCAGCGCGCATCCATCGCCTTCGCAACGAGCATCAATCATCATCGACCGCCGGCCGTTATTTTCACTGTCGCCCACCCTTGAGTTAATTCGTCAGCGTTAATTTTTTTTTTCGGTGACGGCGGTGACACCCAGAAGACGACCGTCGGATATTTGTCAAAACAAAATTTGCGCCCTCGTCAGTGTCGGCTTGACACGTTTGTCTAAACGTAGAGGGCGCGGAGAAATTGGGTTGCGCCAAATAAAAACAATGATAATAAACTCGGTTTTACACGATAGCGCAATTCACAAAGCCCCAAAGCATTTTACGCAAAGCTTAAGTGACAGAAAAAGCCTGTTGTGAAGACAGGTGAGTTTTAGGACGTGATTTAAAAAGTGTAACAGACTCGGAGATTTCCCTAACGCAACGAGGAGGAAGGAAATTCCACAATCGCGGAGCCTGGCTGCAAAAAGCTCTGTCTCCCATCGGGGGGGGGGGGGGGTGGGGGGGGGCGTGAGAGGGGAAGAGCGTGGGGGATGGAGGGGGAGGGTAGCAGCATGGGGGGGGGGGGGGTAGCGTGGGGTGGTCACCTCCGCCTCCTGCACGCGGAGCTGCTCCCGGGCCGCCTCCAGTTCGGCCCTTGACGCCTCCAGGCGGCCTTCCCTGCTCGCCAGCTCCTGCGCGACTCAAGCGAGGGCGAGAGTGGCCTGAGGCCGGGTTCCACCGCGGGCCGAGCGGTCGTTTGGCACGACCGCATCGTGCAATGCGGTGGACAGCCTGCGGCTGCTGCGTCCCAACGAGCCGTAGCGCGACGGGGAAATGACGCAAGCGTGGTCAGGATCGTGACGATGCAGCTCGCTACAAATCGCTGGGCGGGTCGACGCTTGAAAGTGGCGGACGTCTCGGCTGCTCTCAAACGGTTGAGGAGACGTATAAGTTGCAAGTGATCTGGTTGCACACAACTCTGTTGCGCGACTGGTCGCTCAGGTGTGAACCTGGCTTAAGACGAAATAATCGATTCAGGGATGAAAAATCCTAAGAGGCAGAAATTCATAATAGAGTTTTGTTTTGGGTTAGATCGCGTAAATATATAAATGTGTCGTTAAAACCAGTCACCACCCGGACACAGCCAACTAGTAAGGGTTGTCACCTAAAACAGAACATGCCAATTCGTCACAGGCAGGCATTCACAACGCAACTCAAAAATGCTTATTCATGAAGTCCGAATAAAAGATGTAACAAAATCAACTCTTGGTTACCCGTGGTAACGGATGGGGGGGCTCAGATAAAAAGGAAACACGGGTGATGCAATACAAAAATCAGGCTTTAAAAACGTATTTACTGTTTACCGATGAAGAATCGGGGCGCAAACGTGGAACGTGTCGTCTGTTTTCATTGCTTCTTAAAGTAATCTGCCTGCCGACCGCTGTGCGGCGGTGAGCGAGGAGCAACGAATAAAAATGAAAGCGGCGTGCGAGAAAAAACACTCGCCAATATTCACCAAGGACGGTAAAACCCTCAATCCAGATAACCGGGCCACGGATAAATCGGGGTTAACCGCAGCTCGTTCGATATCGGTTCGGCAAAGGGAGCAGGGACGAACTCCGAACTCTACGCCTGTGTGGGTGAGGGCGAGAAGGCGATTGCTGTTTGGAGAGCCCTCACCTGCAAGCTTCCTTGCTTTGCCTTTTCCAGTTGACTTTCCAGCGCTGATATTTGCTCTTTACAGCTGGACACCTGCGTAGGGTCGCGGGAAGGGAAAACATAAGGGGAAAAAAAAGAAAGCGGCTAATTGGAATCGCTGCATTCGTCAACGTGAAGCGCCTCCGTGAAGCTCGGAGAGAACACTGCCATAGTTCATGCCCAGGGACTAGGTGGATTGTGGAATCGCACGACCGGGAATGATGGTGACATCGTGGGAAGGCCTTAATCCAGCAGTGGATAGCAAACCGCATAATGATTCAACGCGCCAGCAATCTGGTATAACTTGCATGTCGGTGTGTGTATGCATGTGTGGGGAGCGATAGTATAGTGGCTAGCGCACTGCACTGCAAACCTTGCGACCCCGAGCTCACGACCAACATCGGTGCCGAATGTATGAGCCGGTCCCGGGCCCTCCCCAAATTCGGCTCAACCTCAAACGAGCGATATGTAAACACCGGCATTGTGGGAGACTGAGGCGGCCAGGCGTGGCGCTGGTCACACACCACCTCGCGGCGCGCCGTACCGGTCACAACTGGCGCTCGCCAACAGCACTTGTCCCAACAAGAATCATTTCAAGGCTACACGGGATGGAGGGGGATCTTTGTCTTGCGAGTGTGTGGGCGCGCACCTCCTCCTGCTGCTGCTGCGCCTGCGAGCGGCACTTCTTGAGCTCCACCTTGTAGCGCTTCACCTTCTTGTCGTGCGCCGCCACCTCCGTCTCCAGCTGCACGAGCCTCTCGACGGCCTGACACAGCTCGGCACGAGTCGACTCCGCCTCCGCCTCCTTGCGCTCGAGCTGCGGGAGAGAGAGAGGGGGAGGGGGGCACCGCAATAGAAATCTTTATACCGGAGAGGAATCCGATGAGCCGTAAAGCTCTTTCTTCACAGGTGTCCAGTAGGGGCACGGGGTCAGAACGTTACCACGGCAAACGGTATAAAAAAGCCAATAGGAATTGCAAAGTATACGTAAGCAAATCACAAAAAAAATACAAATAAAGTTAAACATTTTTTTTTATTTTACCACGTAAAGCCCACGGGCCTGGCTACAAACGATAGCTCAACGAAGTGGCTTATCGCACGTAAATTTATCGCGGCCAAATAATCTAAACATTCTAAATGCATGCTTATAAATGTGGCGGAAAGAAAAACGGAGGACCGGGAGAAAAAAATCCACGCAACCACGGGGAGAACAAGCAAACTTCAATTATACAGCAGGCATCAGGCTCGGGATCAAACCCACGACCTCCTGCATAGCAGGCGAGGAAGATGACATCACGCCGGCGTGGTGCCCCTTCAATAATTAGATAAAAACCAGAGAGAGAGGTCACCGAGAATAGGCTTGCCACCTGTCCTAGTTTTTGTGACCGTAATCGAGCATCATACTGGAGTCGGTGGCGATTGACAGCGAAGTCATCTGCGCGCTGGGCAGCATGCCTGCCTTGGTTTTCCCAGAAACGTCCGCTTGTTACATCACAGAGCTACCTCCGAGATGCCTGCACGTGACGTCTGGTCCACACTGATGAGGCGGCCATCACTTCCGCCACTTTCCAACAACGCCCCCTACCACACTGGGCATCTGTGAAAAGGCGCTTGATAGCTCATCGGATTCCTCCAGTACAATTAAATACTCGGATTCTGGAATAATGGGAGAGCCGAGCTGTAGTTACAAATGCACGGATACAGAAAGGAGCACGTTGATGGGAGAAGCTACCCAGGTGAGAGACATTGCATTGGCTGAAGCAGTGCTCAGCTAAAGACAGTCAATCCAATATCTTTCAGTCTCAGAGCTCGGATTTATCCCAGCGAGCACAAACGTACCCTTAATTTGGAGACAAACAGAAGGGCAACATCAAGAACCGGTGCCGCTAAGTCGGCATGCGTGCGTGCTTCACGTGGTACCTGGTGACCTGGGAGAGACACGTGACGCCAGGGCACGCCGCTCCGTGAAGGAGCACAAGGAAGAGCGGAGGGGACACGGGAAGGCGTGGAGAGGGGAGGTGGACAGAAGTGGGCGGTGGTGGAGGAGGGGGAGACGGGAGGAAGAAGGGAGAGAGCCCAACTGGACGGGGAGGGGGGGGAGTAAGGGCAGGACGGGTGCAGCAAGGTCAACACGAGGTGGGAAAACAAATTAAGAGGCACAGAAAGGAAGGGCGTATAGATTAAGACTTTAAGCTGTGTTCATGAAGACAAATCAATCCGCAGAAATTATATCAACAAGGATCAAAGCGCGTGCGTTATTGAACGGAGGCCCCCGTGAAATGAAAAAGTCCGGGCGGGGTGGAGTAAACCCGCGCGTGTACGGTACACGTTGAACTTCTTTCGCGCCGTACGCAGCCGACCGTGCTAATCGGGGGATGCGGGCAAACGCGGCGCTTTTAGAGAGACGACGTTTGGCAGATCGCGTCAAGATTTGCGGGCCCTCTCAAAAACCAGCGTGGATGCGAGGTGACCGAGCAGTACAAGCGAGTTAATGTACCCCTCTGTGCAGACCTGTGTTATACCCCCTTGGTATGCTTGCTGTACTCGGATTTCCTCCCACATGCAAAGATACTTTTTATAATGGAAATGGCAAAATATCCAAACTTAGGACTCTCCTGAAAACAAGTCTTGAGGCTCGGTGAGACTCGTCTGGATAGACAAATGGCAATATTGTGCATGTACAGCCCTTTGCCAATCCACTGCTGGATGAGGGCCTACCCACGCCATGCGGGTTATGTGGGTGATGAGATCGTTATTCACCATGCTGGCCATCGTGGGCTGGTCAAGGCGGGGAGCATACACCTGGGGGGCATAGAAGTACCGTACAACAATGGATTTTGCGGCCTCAATGAAACCTATTCTACACCGTGACCGTCCGTCCACTCAAGCACGATCCAGGCTAAACCCTGCTCGGCTTCTAAGCTCTGGTGAGGTTGAGCGCATCCAGGGGGGGTTGCAACACCGCGAGCTGTTGGCACGACGAGCTGTCGGCACGACGGCTGACGTTTCGCCGCACACACGCCGGGCAGCTTCTCCGCAATTCAGTTCGGTCGAGAAGCGTCGCGCGTTGTGTCAGACAGCGGGAGGGGGGGGGGGGGCGCAACACGACAACACATCGGAGAGCCGTGCAACAGCACAACCGCGAAAAAGCTACGTGGGCGTTCTAGAAAAAAATAACTAGTTTTATTTCATCAGGTAAGGCCCACTGAGCTGTACTGCTCTTTCTCAGAAGTGACCTGGGCATCACAAATGATAGCTCAACGCAGTGGCTTATCATCACGTGGAAATTTATAGCAGCGAAATAGTCCGAACGCACGTTGATTCTAAATGTGGAGGGAAAAACCGGAGGACCCGGAGAAAATTCCACGCGGCCACGGGGAGAGAGACACGCAAACTCAGGGTCAGGATCGAATCCACGACCTCCTGCATACCAGGCGAGGTGGTTAACATCTCCTAGCCACCGTACGCGTGGAGGTGACGCGGCCTGGCGGCAGCGCGTTGGCCGCTCGTTGCAGAGGTTCGAAGTTCAATTCCAGCGGCCGCCCTGGTTAATACCGCGGGTGCACCAGCCGTTATAATACGACACGCCGCCTGCCTTACAGTGGCCGTCTTCACGGTGGACGTTGAAGATCACGCGACGTCGTTCACGCAAGAGTCGCCTCTTGGTGTGCTGGCATTGTTGTCCAAATTTGAAATATTCTTCCGCAAATTACTCAATTGGAATCTAGGCTCGGCAGATCCAACAAAGGGCTACAGAGCACGGTGCTGGAATAAAAAAAGCTTAATAGCGATCGGGCAGAGTTCTTCCGGCATAGAGCGGTCCAAATCTCATAGGCAAGGATCGAAAAACCCCGAGCCCCGAAATGTTTTTGCCGAAATCGATCATCGCTCCCGACTGGGAAAACTTGGAACCACCCGTAAATAAGCGAATGAATAATAACAAATTATTAGATCTCATCTCTCCCCCCCCCCACCCCCCACCTGCTGCTGCGTGTCGCGCTGCACGCCGCGCACGCCGGAGAGCTCGCTCAGCAGCCGCTGGAGCTGCCCCTCGCCCGCTTGCAGCTCCCGGCTCCTGTCCCGCTCGGCCGCCAGCTCCAGCTCCAGCCGCGTGACCTGCGAGTGGACAGCAACGACGCGCGCGGGGTTCATACGCTGTCCCGGCCCCCCCCCCCCCCCAAAGGGTCAAAAAGGTCAAAACGTCAAAAGCGATTTCTTCCTCCGGCGGCCGTTGAGGAGGGTTGCTCATCTCCTGTCTTGCAGCCCTCAGCCAGTGCTGGGAAAATTCCACATTCCCATGGCAGGGACGGGGCCCTCGACAGGACAAATGCTCCATTGGAACCTCATTTGCCAGTAAAAATGTGAAAATTGGTTTTTTACCCTTCTATCTGGCAACAAAACTGACACCTTTTTTACGCCTTTTGGTGTCATCTGGTCCAACCCATGTGAGACTAGGCTCTAAGGAAAGCTGTCTCGGGTGTGGACCAATCAACTTCAAGGACAGTGCATACATTATCATGTTTTTTGTTTGCATTATGACTGCAGGTATTGTGGTCTATGCAAACATGACTCCTTGTAAAAAAGGTGTCAGTTTTGTTGCCAGATAGAAGGGTAAGAAAACAATTATCAGGACAAATGCTGTTGAGGTCCCCCACGAAGCGGTGGGGTGCTGTGCCCATGCCTGAAGGGAGGGTCGGCAGGCTGAGTCGACACCCCCCCCCCCCCCGATTGCGAGCCGCTCGCTCCGATTGCGAGCCGCTCGCTCTATCGCCGAGCCACTTGGCTGGCGGCCGGGCAGCGGTGGCGCGGGAAATAAACAAACGGAGCAAAGAGCTTAGGGCCCCCAAAGAAGCTTGAAGGCCCCTCAGGATTCATTACCAAAAATTGGATTCTTTCAAATGTCAGCTCAAATTGAAATCCTAATGAACGGAGCAAGATCGTTAAAATAAAAAAAAAGACAATTAACTTCTCTCTTCTGTACACGTTGTCTGCATTCAACGTCTCTTGTTCTCACCACATCTCTGTTTTGTTAACATGTCTCTTACCCATTCCGTCATCTCGCTAGGATTTTATCAACTGAAGGAGGGGGGCCCCAAAAATAACTTCTGCTTCGGAGCCCCAATGGGTTAGCACCGCAAAATGCTATTTGAATGTCACCACCAGTTGTGCACGGATTGTGTTATTTATAAAGTAATATACTTACATTTAACAGAGCATCATGACAATCATACAAATTCATAATCTTATCATCGTCATCATCAGCATCAGCCATGATTGTTCCATAAGCCATCATCATCTCTCGCGGTCATGCGACTTCACAATCACCTGCTCCCAAGCTGATTTCATCGCTCCATCTCTGCAGCGGACATCCTCTCCATTCTAGATGTATTAAAAGATTTGTGTCACTCCGTCACTATGCTTACACCTCAACAACAAAACGTAGTGCAAGGATGAGCAATTTGTGGAAAAAAAAATCTGCAAAAAAAACTTCTTTCCAACTTTTAAGAAACAGCTCTGTGAAATCCACTTCTGTGGACCCTACTTTAACAGTGGCAGAACAGGTGGGACAGTGCTGCCCCCTACCGTGCGAAACAGCGTCACGTGTAGTGATCTCAGAGGTCGCTCTGTCATACCCCGCCCGCTTCTGCATGCCGTCCTCTTAACACGAAGTGGCGCCCCCCGCTCTTACGACACCGGTGGCGCGCAACCGGGACGAGGGTTTGTGCGGAAAGAGAGAGGGGAGAGGTTCGTCGCGGCGCTGACCTCGTGCAGCCGCCGCTCGGCCAGCGCCTGGGCCTCGTCGACGCGGGACCGAGCTCGTCGCAGCTCCGTCTGGGAGCCGTCCAGCGCCCGACGCGCATCTCGCCCCTCGCCTTGGGCCCTCTCCAGCTGGGGCGGCGCGGGACGGGCAGGGGACGAGAACGCGGGCGTCATTACACGGCACCGTGTTTCAAACGATCGTAACGGTCGTTACGGATCAGCGGGATCGTTGCTTATCATTACTGATCGGCACAATCGTAACTTATAACTTATCAACGTAACAGCATGTTCACATCAACATACACGTTGATGTTACGTTCAATCACGAAAAGTCTTAAGCCACTCGTCATGAGCTTTCTCGGTCCGAATGTGATCAATACATGTGCACGTGCAAATATGTTTCATGATTTTTCCATAAATCTACCACTACGTGACCGAACCTAAAAGCAAATTTGGACTCAAAAAATATCACGATCATTACTGAACAAACACAATTTCACCAAACAACACGAGTCTGTGCGGAGTTCAACCACTGTGGACTTCCCACAAAGCGGTACCTATTTTATCAACCCCGGTAAAATGATGGACAATTCATCTTCACAACCTACGTGTTTAAAATATTCCAGCATCTCGGCAGCCATGGTCTCTCTCCGCCCGACTTCTTCAGAACTTCCTGGGGCGCTTAATTCCACTGGGGGTACCACTTTGTGATTTCCCCAGGGAGGCCTTCGCAGACGACGCGATAATGTTGCTTGTAAATTGGAAACGCTGGCATATTTTTGAAGCGAGTCCCAATCCCGCGACACTCTACAGCACTCGAAGTGACCTGGGAAATCGGTAAAGTTGTTCGTGGGAAAATGGCTTCGTGGGGGCTGTTAGTTCGTGGAAACATGACCTGAAATTTCATGGCGCGCAAGGGGTCAGGAGTTGTTATTTGTCAGAGGGCCTCGGCAAGAACCTTCGGGCAGGTCTGGCCAGACGTGTTGGTGCGCTTGTGAGCGACAACGACACCGAGTACGAGCGTCTGTCATATCATTTATTTATCCAGGGAAGTTTCAGTCTTGCCCAAGCACGCTAACTTTTACCAACAGTCTATGTGTCTCTAGTTTGGGGGTCCTCCGATCCATGTTCTCCTCTCACTATCCCCACCATCACTACTCTCAGCAGTGGTGGTAGTGGTCGCAGCGGGCCTGGTGATGGTGTTGGCTGTGATGGTGGTGATGGTGGTGGCGGCAGTGGTGATGGTGGTTATGGTGGCGGTGGTGATGATGGGGAAAGGCATGGTGGTGGTGGCGGTGGTGGCAGTGGTGCAGGGAAGGTGGCATTGGCTCTTTTGCTGGTGGCAGTAGTGGTGGTGATGGCAGATACCATGGTCGTGGCAGTAATTGGTGTGGTAGTGGCAGATATGGAAGTGGTGGCAGCAATGGGTGTGGTGGTGGCGGTCCAAGTGGTGATGGTAGAAGGTGTGGTGGTGGTAGTGGAGGTGCCAGGTGTGGTGGTGGTGTTGCTGCGCTACGAATCCTGTCCCCCGGATTCGATTCCCGCTCACAGCCAACACCAGTGTCAATTATCTGAACCGGTGCTGGGCCTCCCCTAGGTCGACTCAGTCTCAAATGAGTACCTGGTGCGGTGTGAAAAAACACCGCCACTCGGGAGTCAAAGGCGGCCGGGCCCGGCGCTGGCCACCAATCCCTTCACGTGCCGTGCCGGCCTTCATTAGGTGACACTCGCTGACGGCACTTGCCCCAAAAAAGTCCTTTTAGGCTACACGGGGAGATCTTTGTCTTTGTTTCGGCGGTGGCGGCGACGGTGGCACCTGCTTGCCGGCGTCCTGCAGGCGGGCCGCGAGCGCCTGCGCGTCGCCCTCGTGCCGCGCCGCCGTCTCCCGCGCGACCCCCAGCTCCGCCTGGAGGCCGGAGCTGCGCTCGCGCTGCCGCTCCAGCTCCTCCCGAAGGGACGCGGTCGCCTCCGCCTCCGCCGCCAGCTGAAGGTGGAGGAACGAAAGCGCACGGACGGTGGCCGTGAAGGGTCACGGTTTGCCGAGGAGGCCGGATGTACTATGCACGTACGTATGTTTAAATTCTTTTGCACCGTACGTAGCCAGCCACGACCGCCGCTGCCGAGTGTGTTGATGGTGGCGATAGTGGGAAGAGCACATGAATCAGAGGACCCAAACTAGAGACATATTGATTGTTGTGAAAAGTTAGTGTGCTTGGGCAGGACTGAAACTTCCCTAGATGAATGAACGATGTTATAGACGCCCGTGCTAAGTGCTCTTGGCACTCACATTGGAGATCAGAGCGCTGATCTTGGCGACGCTGAGATTCTGGGTTTGAATCCAGGTAGCTGCCTGTGTTTAAACTGGGTTCTCAAGTGGAGAAGTTAATGGTCTTAGCGCAGTCACCAATGACTGTGTAAAGTAGTAACTCGGCAGGAGACGACTTCACGGGTAGCACACTCTTTATTTTCACCAACTTGTAGTTACACGGATGACTAACACCCTACTTCGTTACACGGGTGACCAACACCCACTTAGCTACACGGGTGACGGACACCCACTCAACTACAACTTCGTTACACGGGTGACCAACACCCACTTAGCTACACGGGTGACCAACACCCACTCAGCTACACGGGTGACCAACACCCACTCAGCTACACGGGTGACCAACACCCACTCAGCTACACGGGTGACTAACACCCACTCAGCTACACGGGTGACCAACACCCACTCAGCTGTACTGACACGGGCTCTTACGCCCTGTAGCCTTCCGGGACACACCCAGCCGGGGTGCCCGTCTCGGCTCTGGGTACCACCGTCCCGACCCACACGGGCGTCGGACTACGGTCCCCCCAGTCTCGGCTCCGAGCCACACAGGGCCCCTACCTCCTCCACCCCGTCTTCGGTCTTCAACTGGTTAACACTGACCACGAGTGCTCTCGCGCGTCCCCCTTTATACCCCTCCTGCGGACGTCGCTGAGAGTACTCACTTATCTGACCAATCACTGCGCACTCGCTACGATCCTCTTTTCCCAGCTTGTGTGAGCGCGCCTCACCACCGGCGCGCGCGTCCATGCCACGCCCACACCGCGTGCCCAACCCCGCGCCCCGTGATCCATCACTGCCGGCGCACGTCAATACCACCACTACATCACCCCCTACCACATAGCTCGCAGCCGACCCGGCTGCTAATAAAACCTACAACACCCCTTCACCCCCATGTGTGCCCCGTAACATAACACAAACCCTAACAACACAACATGAACACCGCAATCCGCAAAACCCAGCAACCGCCACACCCGCAACAAGAACAACATGCACAATCCAGCGAGTGGCAACGATACTGTGTATGCGGAAAGAGTAACAATAAAAAAATTTCTTTAATCATTTTCTCTTCTTTTCTCTCCGACTCATGCAGCGTCCCAATGTCCGAGCGTCCCTTGAACGGGACATTACCCCGGCAGAGGGGGAAGCCGGCAACGAAGTCGGGCTTTAACAAAAAAAGAATTTTTTTTTTTTTCATGAAAAGTGTTGCGTCCTTGACCGAGTCCGCCTTGCCGGACCGTCGTACGGCACAGGACGCAGTTGGCCATCCGGCGGCACCGGCAGTTCAGGAAGGCATGGGCCAGGCATCGGGGCTCCGTGCGAGCCGCGGGGTTCCGGTTCCCGACGGTCAACAGCCGTCAGGTCCGAGACACCGGGTTCAGTTGGGATGTCTTGAGTCCCTGGTCGTCGTCCGGACGTGGTCCCGCGGTGCGTTGACGCGGGGCCCGGCACCCGGACGCGACGTGGCCCCGAAGGCCGCAGTTGTAGCAGACGACGAGGGACGTCGTAGGTTTCGGTTGCTCCAGCTTGCGGGAGGAGCGTGTGGGCGAACGACCTCCCGTTCTCCACTCCCCCGGCCTCGAACCAGCGAAGGCCTCCTCCCGAGGCACAGCAGGCTGAGGTCCGATGATCGTGGCGGCCGGTGCCCCGTTCTCCACCGATGCGCAGACGACCGTCGGCTTCCGCTGTAGGACCTCGTAAGCGTGGATACTCGTGGCAATCCCCAGGGAGCAGATGTCCATCTCGTCCGCCGTATTAATGGGAACTCCCAATCCGTGAGCCAGCGCCAGCAGCTGCTCCGTCACCATGGCGTCCTTCCCCTCCTTGTCCATGCGGGGAAAAGCTGAATCCGCCAGGGCGAGCAGCGCCGTGCGATAGGCGAGCGTTGTTTCTCCAACCACCTTCCGCCGATCGTAGAACTGGTGGCGACAGGTCGAGGGCGGCCCGAACACCTTGGCCAACAGGTGCAGCGCGGCCTGGAGCGTTGAGCGGGACGACCTCGGGGCAGACGTGAAGGCCGCAAGCGCGTCGTCGTCGAGCATCGCTGGCAGCGCGCGCAGGGCAGTGGTGTCGGACCACCCCGACATTTCTTGATGCGCGATGAACCGTCGCTGGAAGGCTCCCCAGTCGCCCCCGTCCGCCTTGAACACCGACAGCGCGGGCAATCGTTGCTGGAGAACTCGATCGTCGTCGTCGTCGTTGGAACGATTTTCCCGCGCGCCGCTGTGGTTGTAGAAAATGTCGGCTCCCTCTGCAGGCGCAAAATGGAGAGCTCCGGCGCTCGCCGATGACGCGGGCTGCGCTGTGTGGAGACCTCTGGCCACGTGGTGTCCGCGTTTCCCGCCAACCGGAGGCGGACCCTCAAAAATGGCGCCAACTCCCAAACTTTTGGCGCGAAACGCCTTATGGCGGGAACCCTCCAGCCGCGCCGCCTCTTCCAACCCCGCAGGCGTTCCACCGGCCGCTGGAACGGAGATCTCCGCCAAGATCGCAGCGGCGGCGAGCAGCAACTCCGCCAGGCGGGAGTGTGCGTCCTGCAGGCTGGTGTCGGAGGCGGGCGGAGCATCGGCCATTTCCGCGAAGTGCTGCATCGGCGGCAACTCCTCGTCCTCTCCTCCCGAGGGTGGTGTCACCGGTACGTCGTCGTCTCCCCGGTCTTGCACGTGGGAACGAGAAGTCTTCCTTGTGTCCATTCTCCTTGAAGACAGGTTTACTTCTGACGCCAGTTGTAAAGTAGTAACTCGGCAGGAGACGACTTCACGGGTAGCACACTCTTTATTTTCACCAACTTGTAGTTACACGGATGACTAACACCCTACTTCGTTACACGGGTGACCAACACCCACTTAGCTACACGGGTGACGGACACCCACTCAACTACAACTTCGTTACACGGGTGACCAACACCCACTTAGCTACACGGGTGACCAACACCCACTCAGCTACACGGGTGACCAACACCCACTCAGCTACACGGGTGACCAACACCCACTCAGCTACACGGGTGACTAACACCCACTCAGCTACACGGGTGACCAACACCCACTCAGCTGTACTGACACGGGCTCTTACGCCCTGTAGCCTTCCGGGACACACCCAGCCGGGGTGCCCGTCTCGGCTCTGGGTACCACCGTCCCGACCCACACGGGCGTCGGACTACGGTCCCCCCAGTCTCGGCTCCGAGCCACACAGGGCCCCTACCTCCTCCACCCCGTCTTCGGTCTTCAACTGGTTAACACTGACCACGAGTGCTCTCGCGCGTCCCCCTTTATACCCCTCCTGCGGACGTCGCTGAGAGTACTCACTTATCTGACCAATCACTGCGCACTCGCTACGATCCTCTTTTCCCAGCTTGTGTGAGCGCGCCTCACCACCGGCGCGCGCGTCCATGCCACGCCCACACCGCGTGCCCAACCCCGCGCCCCGTGATCCATCACTGCCGGCGCACGTCAATACCACCACTACAACTGCACCAAAAAATAAATAAATTATATATTCTGCCTAATTTGGCTAGATTCCCACTCTAAGAATAAATAAATATATATTGGTTTGGATGCCATGCGACGAACGTTTTCTCAGTGGCAGGGTGCATAACAAAGTGTGGCTTCCTACTGTGTAAACCAGAGGTCACCTGTGGTATCCGCTTCTGCGTACAGTTCTCTAACACATGTGCGAGATGTGTGAGTGCGTAAGATGTGCGAGGTGAGTGCGTGCATGAGATATGTCTGAGGTGAGTACGTGCGTAAGGTGAGTGCGTATATGAGGTGAGTGCGTGAGATATGTCTGAGGTGAGTACGTGCGTGAGGTAAGTGCGTATGTGAGGTGAGTGCGTACATGAGGTAAGTGCGTACGTGAGGTGAGTGCGTATGTGAGGTGAGTGCGTACGTGAGGTAAGCACGTACGTGAGGTGAGTGCGTGAGATGTGTCTGAGGTGAGTACGTGCGTGAGGTAAGTGCGTACGTGAGGCGAGTGCGTGAGATGTGCGAGGTGAGTGCGTACCTAAGGCGAGTGCATACGTGAGGCGAGTGCGTGCGTGCGTAAGGTAGCGCGTGGACCTGCTGGTGCAGAGCGGAGAGCTGCTCACGCGTCTCCTCCAGCGCCGCCCCGCGTCGCGCCAGCTCGTCCTGCAGTCGCTCCGACTCGGCCAGCGCGGTGCGGCACGCGGACAGATCCCCCTCGAGGGCCTGCGCTCGCAGCCTGCGGGCGAGCCGTGACAGCGTCAACGCTCTCGCCGTTGTCGTAGATTTAACAACACACAAAGGTGTGTGCAGAATCGGATGGAACGGAAGCTCAGCCTTATCCTGAACACCAGCTCAAAAGAACTGAATTGTGTGGCCATCTTGTCAGTTAGACCACCGACTCGAAACAGTTGAGAAAGCGGTGGCCATTCCGAGCCAGCAGCAGTGAAACGGACATGACTGTAGACCAGTTTCTTCATCATTGGGGCTCATCAATACAATGCAGTCACCAATGTTGACTGTTGCCTTGTCTACATGACAGAATAGCAACAAATTTATTTATTTTGAGTTGGTGTTCTCGTTAAGGCTGTTGTACACACCATACTGCACACTTTTTTGCGCTGTTAAATATATTTGTTTCCATCCGCCATTAATTTTTCTGTTGCGATGGGTTTTCTCATCATTTACAGATTCGAGTCATAAACAGCCTCACTGATTTCTTGTTGCGATCGCTTCCTGATTCGGATCCCCAGCCACAAAAGGTAAGGAAAGGGTGGGAATTGGGGCAGAGTGGGCAGAACGTAACCCAGCAAAAGCCTCAAGGCTCGTGGAGTGTGGGGACACGGACCCAGGCCACGGTGCTATTCCTGGGCCATTCCTAGGCTGTGGCAGCCAGTTCCCAGTGGTCATTGAAACAAGGCCCCGTGTGTGCATGCGTATATGTAAGAGACTCAAATGAGCACCCGGTGCGGTGAGTCAACATCGCCACTTAGGGGTGACAAATCCGACCGGGCGTGGTGCCGTGCCGGCCTTCGTAAGTACACGCTGACGGCACTTGCCCCAACAGTCTGTTCAGGCTACCGGGCGGGGGTGGGGGAATCTTTGTGAGAAATGGCGTGGTGCTAGACGGACGCGGTGGTCACCTCAGGGCCTGGGCCTCCTTCTGGCCGGTGGCGAGGCTCTCGAGGGCGGAGCGCAGCTCGGCCTGCAGGCGGCGCTGAGCCTTCTCGTGGCGCACGGCCTCGGCGACGCGCTCGCCCAGCTTGTCCTGCGCCGCCTGCAGGCCCGCCTCCATGAGCGCCCCGCGCTCCTGCTCGCGAGCCATCTCCTGAGCTGGGAGGGTCAGACAACGACGACGACGACGACAATGACGACAATGACAAACATCTACACTATGGGGACCTCATTTGCCAGTAAAAATATGATAATTGGTTCTTTACCCTTCTATCTGGCAACAAAACTGACACCTTTTTGCAAGGAGTCATGTTTGCATAGACCGCAATACCTGCAGTCATAAATACAAACAAAAGACATAACTCTGATGATGTGCACTGTCCTTGAAGTTGATTGGTCCACACCCGAGACAGCTTTCCTTCGAGCCTAGTCTCATATGGGTTGGACCAGATGACGCCAAAAGGCGCACAACTCAAGGACAATGCACCATCAGAGTATGAGAGCTCGGGGCAAGCATCTACACTATGGGGACCTCATTTGCCAGTAAAAATATGATAATTGGTTCTTTACCCTTCTATCTGGCAACAAAACTGACACCTTTTTGCAAGGAGTCATGTTTGCATAGACCGCAATACCTGCAGTCATAAATACAAACAAAAGACATAACTCTGATGATGTGCACTGTCCTTGAAGTTGATTGGTCCACACCCGAGACAGCTTTCCTTCGAGCCTAGTCTCATATGGGTTGGACCAGATGACGCCAAAAGGCGCACAACTCAAGGACAATGCACCATCAGAGTATGAGAGCTCGGGGCAAGCATCTACACTATGGGGACCTCATTTGCCAGTAAAAATATGATAATTGGTTCTTTACCCTTCTATCTGGCAACAAAACTGACACCTTTTTGCAAGGAGTCATGTTTGCATAGACCGCAATACCTGCAGTCATAAATACAAACAAAAGACATAACTCTGATGATGTGCACTGTCCTTGAAGTTGATTGGTCCACACCCGAGACAGCTTTCCTTCGAGCCTAGTCTCATATGGGTTGGACCAGATGACGCCAAAAGGCGCACAACTCAAGGACAATGCACCATCAGAGTATGAGAGCTCGGGGCAAGCATCTACACTATGGGGACCTCATTTGCCAGTAAAAATATGATAATTGGTTCTTTACCCTTCTATCTGGCAACATTGTCCTTGAGTTGTGCGCCTTTTGGCGTCATCTGGTCCAACCCATATGAGACTAGGCTCGAAGGAAAGCTGTCTCGGGTGTGGACCAATCAACTTCAAGGACAGTGCACATCATCAGAGTTATGTCTTTTGTTTGTATTTATGACTGCAGGTATTGCGGTCTATGCAAACATGACTCCTTGCAAAAAGGTGTCAGTTTTGTTGCCAGATAGAAGGGTAAAGAACCAATTATCATATTTTTACTGGCAAATGAGGTCCCCATAGTGTAGATGCTTGCCCCGAGCTCTCATACTCTGATGGTGCATTGTCCTTGAGTTGTGCGCCTTTTGGCGTCATCTGGTCCAACCCATATGAGACTAGGCTCGAAGGAAAGCTGTCTCGGGTGTGGACCAATCAACTTCAAGGACAGTGCACATCATCAGAGTTATGTCTTTTGTTTGTATTTATGACTGCAGGTATTGCGGTCTATGCAAACATGACTCCTTGCAAAAAGGTGTCAGTTTTGTTGCCAGATAGAAGGGTAAAGAACCAATTATCATATTTTTACTGGCAAATGAGGTCCCCATAGTGTAGATGCTTGCCCCGAGCTCTCATACTCTGATGGTGCATTGTCCTTGAGTTGTGCGCCTTTTGGCGTCATCTGGTCCAACCCATATGAGACTAGGCTCGAAGGAAAGCTGTCTCGGGTGTGGACCAATCAACTTCAAGGACAGTGCACATCATCAGAGTTATGTCTTTTGTTTGTATTTATGACTGCAGGTATTGCGGTCTATGCAAACATGACTCCTTGCAAAAAGGTGTCAGTTTTGTTGCCAGATAGAAGGGTAAAGAACCAATTATGACAATGACAAAAACAACAACTTGATTCAAGATGGTGAAAAAAGAATAGGCCTATTTACCCTTTCCGGCGATAATACAGTAGGTGTTAGGGTTAAAACGTAGCATTTCGCGACTAATATTGGGTTAGACATTGTATTAGCATGTTTTTGTTTACGTGACAAACCTTGCTAATTGGCTATGTCGGGTGGTGGCGGGTTTACCGACACATTTATATTTACGCGATCTAACAAAAAAAAACTCTATTATTAAGGTGTTAAGATGTTCGGACACCAAACAGGCATAAGGCATCAAGTCTGCATTAATAACAGCTGCTTGTGGTATAACATTGACCTTGAAACTGATTGGCCTACATCAGACCCCCCCCCCCTCTCCTTTCTGGCCTTGGCTCTGCACCAGTGTTAGACCAGAGAATGGCAAAATGCGAACAGCACAAAGGCAATGCAAATATCAAAGCATTAATAGCTCGGGATGAGCAACTATTTAACTTGACTCAACTTTACTTGGTTTAATGCCTTGACGACGGTGACAAGTCAGTGCGTGGTGGCGTCCCGATCATTACCCGCACCTCCGATTATCCCGCAACCTCCAATTAGCACGGCTGGCGACGTACGGTGCTAAAGAAGTTCAATGTACGTACACAAATGGTTTCCAACGGTCCCCCGCTGTTCGTGGCAAACCCCTTGTCCGCTTCCGGCAAAAACAAGGCCTGGACCCAAGCAACGTGTGCAGCATTCGCGTCGCAAGCGAGCTACTCACCCATCTCGCGGTTGAGGCGCTGCGCCGCCTGCAGCTCGGAGCGCGAGCGATCGCTGGCGGCCTTGGCGGCCTCGCTGTCGGCGCGGAGCCGGGCGGCCGTCGCCCGCAGGTCCTGCGACTCGGCCTGGCGGGCGAGCGCGTCGGCGTGCAGGCCCTCGGCCTCGGCGCGCCACCCCGCAGACTCGCGCTCGGCACGGTCCACGCGACACAGTGCCTCCTCCGCAGCCTGGCAAAGGGAAGCGGCGGCACGCGGAGAGACAAAGGTACAGTTGTTTAGTCGCGGCTGTCGCCCGTATAGCCCGTTTGAGCAAGTGCTGTTAGCGAGCACCTATTAAGGCTGGCACAGTGCAGAAGGGGGTGTGAGGTGTGGCCTTACCAACGCTCACCCGACCACGTTTGTCTTTTGTTGTTTGGCACAATGCCCAATGTTCAGCTTCCTGAGGAAGTAAAGTCTCATTCTTGCTATGTTACAGTTTTTAATGGTTAGCGACTGCGCTGGGCCTCCTCACCTTCTCCTTGTGCAGGCAGAGGTTGCGAGTGTTCACGACGTCCTCTTCCAGCACGAGGATTCTGGCCACCGCCTCGGACGCCTCCATCTCCAGGCCGTGAAGCCTGGCCTCTCGCCTGTCCGCCTCCCCGGCCAGGGAGTCTCTCTCATTGGTCGCCTGTGCCAGTTTGGCCCCTTGCTCCTCCAAGGCCTTTGTTCGGGCCTGCAGTTCGGCCTTCACCGATTCCAATTCCTGCCCATCGGAGACATCAATTTGTGAAGCAAAGACAGTGTTTGGCAAGTCAAATAAATTTTGGCACAAATCTGACACTCAAAGCGCTTCCACATTTGTGAAACAAAGACATGGTTACATGACATTTGGTCTTCATAGCAGGGACAATGGATCTCTCTGCTATGACGAAGGGCCATTTCCCAAAACGTCCCCTATTTTTATATATTTTTGTTCCTCTTTAGGCCACAGTGTTGTTGACTAATGTGTTGAGTTCTTATTAGGCGTGTTTGTGCACCTCTGCCAGTGCAGTATGATGCGAAAAATGTTGTTCAGCGTTATATGAAAAACGAAGCTGACGATAAGTGAGCATCGCGTACATCGAAAGGCCGCGGTCCCATTGACTGGAAAAAATGGTAATCGAAGACCGTAGTGTGACTAGGACTGACGTTTATGGTGCCTTACCGGCCATCTTCCGATACGAAGCCAAGGCATGTTTGTCTCATTGCAACCGCTGTACCCATTCGTAAACGATCCCACGATTATCACACCTGTTGCCCATTTCAGCTTCATTATTTGACGTCACCTGTGCCTACATACTCCCTGTCGACACCCTCTCAATACCGCACATGTCTCTCCACGTCAAAAAAGAAAAACGTTTCAGCACATCTGCCTTCACAGCAGCATTCGACTCGGTCGGCAAACTCCGCGCCGGCTTCGACCTTTTGGGTCTCATCTGCGGGCCGGCTCCCGCGGCGCGCGGCCGCGGGGGTTTTTCCGGTTGCGTTTGTCACCGTGAGCAGCTGGCGCGCATGTCCCTGCAGGGCTTCGTGCTCCGAGTCGGAGTGCGCGTGCGTCGCGCGGAACGCCTCCGCAGCCGTCCGCACCCGCAGCAGGTCCTCTTCGCACTCCGCCAGCTGGCGCCGCCGCCGGTGCCGTCCCCGGCGACAACGGAAGGGGGAGAGAGAGAGACGTTTGTTAGTTCCGTCAGTCCGTAACGGCGGACCACTAGAACACTCGATATGGAGGGAATCCGAGTGTGAATGTAGGCCTCGTCCGATTGGAAACCGGCCAACTTGCGCCGCCTGAAACTTGGACATAAATGACTATTTGCGAATAGTTATCCATCGAATGCCATACCGATGATTAAATACCTAGTGCAAACACATGTTGGAAAGTGTTACATAACTGATAAGCATCATTTTTCATCCTCTGTTACCCCTAAATAAATAACTACATAGATACATTGATCTACTCGCACACGTGGATTTTCTCCGGGTGCTCCGCTTTCCTCCCACATGTACTCAATAACAACTTAATACATAGAGGACCTCAGAGCTTGGGCAACTGTTGATAGTGCCGGCTCACTGCCTGGCTGCCGTCCCGCTCGTCTGCTGTTCCACGCACCTCCGAGCCGTTCTCTCTCTCGACGAGGGCGAGCGAACATAGCGCGGTCACACGAGTTGAAATTCTTCCTTCACTCGCGATTTCTTTTCGACGCGTGAAAGCCGCGCAACAGCGGGCAGAGCCGGTGGGCGCCACACCCCCGCCCCCCCCCGCCCCCGTACCTGCTGCTGGCTCTGCGCGAGGCTCTTGGAGAGTGCGATGGAGGCCGCGTCGCGCGCGCGCCCCACGTCCCGGCTCTCCGCTAACTCGACGGCGAGCCCCTCGGCTCGCTCTCGCAGCGCCTGCGATCGCCGCTCGGCTCCGTCCAGCTCCGCCCGCGCTCGCTCCAGCTCCGCGCCCAGTCGCCGCTCCACGTCCCTGCCCCTGCCAAGCTGCGGAATCGACGCGGGGGCACGGGGCAAAGCGTTGCGACGCTTTCAAAGCGAGGTTGAAGAAAGCGTCGGTGCGACGACTCTGTCCGTCCGTGTCTGCTGAAGATAATCGTACGTGGTTGTATGCTTTTACGCCCGTCACTAACTCCGTGCCTGAACCATTAACGTTACCGTTCAGCGGGTCAGGGAATAGAGCAGCCCTGTTTAAGTTTAACGGCAGCCGTTTAAACGTTGAACTTCTATTGCACCGTACTAATCAGAGGTGCGGAACAAATATCAATAAAAAGTTCCGTGACTTTTCGTTTACAAAAGAAAAAAACGGAAACATTTATCAAAGGGTATCGCAAAACATGCCAAGGCGATAACATCATTGTGTGTGCCACCATCTGGTTCCACAGCTTCAAGCGTACCGTTTATACTGCTAATTAAGTACTTTCAAGGACGAATGCAATTTGGAAAGCGTTCAGGAATCTACAAATATACACGATTCATCTTCCTCGTTATCGTGTCAGCTTGTAAATATGCATCACCCGGAACGCATGCAATCTCGAGAGATATCGGAAGCAAAGCAGGCGTCGAGGCTGGACAGCTCCTAGCTGTAAGCGGGCGCGGGGTCACGTTCACCACCCCACACTGACGACGACGGTTGAGGGGGGTGGGGGGGGGCGAGTCGGTCGCACCTCGGTCCCGAGTCGCTCCCTCTCCTCCTCGAGCTGGGCGAGCCGCGCCTCCAGCAGCGCCGCTCGCTGAACGACGGTGCGCTGCTCGCGCAGCAGCTCGTCGGCGTCGGCGCGGGCCGCCCGCCCGTCCTCCTCCGCCGCCTCGAGTCGCCGGCGCAGCTGCGACGACTCGGCGTCGAGCGCGGAGAGCTCGGCCGCTTTGCGCGACGCCTGCCGATCGGGAGGACGGCGGCGTCATCATTGTCACCGTCATCAAAATCGTCACAATCGTCACCGTAGTCATCGTACAATCATGATAGAACAAGTGAGAAACATCTTCTTGGTTCTTTCGGTAAAGTCACGTAGAATGGAAATAATAAAATAATAAAAATAAAGCATCATTAAATAATTCTCACGACGTTTCGGCCACAACGCAAGTAGCCGTCCTCAGGTGGAGAACAGGTCTGTCGAGGAGACAGAGTCAGACTCACGCAGGTAACAGTCTGACTCTGTCTCCTTGACAGACCTGTTCTCCACCTGAGGACGGCTACTTGCGTTGTGGCCGAAACGTCGTGAGAATAATTTTATCATGTTTTATTTTTATTATTGGTTTTATTTTTATTATTTTATTATTTCCATTCTACGTGACTTTACCGAAAGAACCAAGAAGATGAATCCCTGCAGTCACGAAAGCTTTAAATCGAAATTTAAGTGAGAAACAGACCGATAAAAAAAAAATATTGAATCAAATCAAGACAATAAACGTTGACAATTCATCGCATCGCTTGCTGGGCGGCTCGACTCGCGCGCGCATGTTCCCGCACGCTCTCCGCCTCTCTTGCCTGCTCCTCGGCTCTCCGCAGCCGCTCCGCGGTGGCCTCCAGCTCACGGGCCGCGGCCCCGGCCAGAGCCCTCGCGTCGGCGAGCTGCTCCGAGGCCTCATCCAGGCTTCCGCGAGTCGCCGACACCTCGGAACGCAGCTCGGCCACGCGCCGCTCACTCTGCTCCGTCTCGGTCGCGCGCTGGCGCCCCACCTCGTCCAGCGCCTCCCGCGAACGCCGCGAGGCCTCCTCTGCATCGCGCAGCTGGAGGGAGGGGGGGGGGGGAAATCAGTGGTAGGGGACGGGGGGGTTGGGGTGGGGGAGCGAGCGGGGAAGGCAGGAGTGCGACGACGATTCGTCAAGATGACAATCGGCGTGCGTCGAAATTCACACGTGTAAGGTTCTAAATTCAACTGCGTCGCTATCACGGTCAATATCATCATCGTCTCAGTCACCGTCAATCCCTCCACAGGTTACCAATCTAATCTCAGATTAATTTCAAGATGCACCTAAACGACCGATCATCCGAGCTCGAATCCCTGCGCAAGGCTCTGTGCGTCTCCAGCCACGGTGCACTAGGATCATCAACAGCAGCAGCAGAGCGGTGAGAGGGAATGGTGAGAGGGTGGGTAGAGATTGGTGAGAGGTGAGAAAGCAGTGAGAGAGAGAGAGAGCGTCCCACCTTGTCCTCGCTCTCCGTCAGTCGCTGCTGAAGCTGTGCCACCGCTCGCCGCTCCTGGCTCAGCAGCTCGTCGAGCTCGGAGCAGCGCAATCGCGCGTCCTTCGCATCGCCACGGAGACGCGGCACCTCCTCCTGCAGCGCCAGCAGCTCCCGCTCGCGGCCCACGAGCTCCACGCAAACACACAGAGATCCCCCGTGTAGCCTTAACAGACTGTAGGGGCAAGTGCTGTTAGCGAGCACCTATGAAGGCCGGAACGGTACACGAGGGGGTGGGTGGCCAGCACCACGCCCGACCGCCTTTGTCTCCCAAGTATCGATGTTTATTTACCGCACCAGGTACTCATTTGAGGCCGAGTCGACCTAGGGAAGGTCCATGACCAATTCAGATAATCGTCACTGCTGTTGGCCGTGGGAGGGAATCGAACTCGGACGGCCGGGTTCGTAGCGCAGCGCGCTGACCGCTACACTACCAAGCACACACACCAGAGGTCGCAAACGGGTTTTGATTCCTTACCCGTACCCGGCCGCACCAGGGTCGCAAATGGGTACCCGTACCCGGCCGGGTATGGGTACCCGTACCCTACCCGTACCCGTACCCTACCCGAAATGAGTGACAAACGATTACTCACCAGTGACTCACGGCCTACCCGTACCCGGCCGCACCAGGGTCGCAAACGGAAACCTGTACCCGTACCCGGCCGGGTACGGGTAGCCGGGTATCGGGTAGGGTACGGGTATCGGGTACCCGATTGCGACCTCTGACACACACGCAGGTTGCAGTATTTGATCCGAGACCAGGAGCCACATGGACCAGCTGACGACAAGGTATAGGCCAGGGGTCAGTGAAAGTACAAAACGTTCCCTGTCAATCAAGGGAGGTTTTCACTGGCGGGGTTTTATTTAACAGGCCGAAGATCCTCCAAGCGGACTGATTCGCCACAGTAAGCAGTGATAATGGTGGTGACGTGTTAACTACCTCGCCTGGTATGCAGGAGGTCGCGGGTTCGATCCCGACCCTGACGCCTGCTGTATGTTTGGAGTTTGTACGCTCTCTCTCCCCGTGGTCGCGTGGATTTTTCTCCGGGTCCTCCGGTTTTTCCCCTCCACATTTAGTATCGGGCGAGCGTTTAGAGTATTTGGCTGCTATAAATGTCCATGTGATAAGCTATAATTTGTGATAGCTCGGTCGCTTCTTAAATAGAGCTGATCAGCTCAGTGGGCCTTACCTGGTAACATATAAATTAATAAAATAGTAAAAACACTTAGAAACAAAAACTGATAAATAACACTCACTTAACGTTGATTACATTTCTTTTGGGGTGGTGGGGGGGGGAATGTAATTTAGTTTCATATCGAGCACTGTGCTTTAGTTCGACACATTACGAAACACCGGGCCACCCCACGGGGCGGGCGGGCGGGCGAGCACGCGTGCCGGCACCTCCTGCTGCGCTCCGCGGTGCTTCTCCTCGGCGATGTTCAGCTCCGTCTTGAGGCTCAGGATGAGTTGGTCCCGGTGGGAAACCTGCGACAGGGTGCGAGCGGCTCACGGTCACGCCGTGCGGCACCGCACGTGCGCGTGTTACAAAAGGCGGCGCGGAAGTGTGGTCGGTGAGTGCCGGCGAAGGCGCTTGCCCCCGACGCTCCGGAACACGCCAGACGGGCGAACGTTGCCTTTGCGATCGCGAGGCCTCCGCGCGCCGGCGGGAGCCTTGCCGCTCACCTCCTGCTGGGCGGTGCGGTGCTTCTCTCCCAGCAGCGTGAGCTCCATCCCCATGCGGTCGCGCTCGCCGCCCAAGCGCGCCACCTCGCGCGCATGGCGCGCCATCTCCTCGCCCAGGCGACTCGCCTGGTCCTGCACCTGGCCCAGGACGCCCTCGCGGCCCTGCAGCTGTCGCCGGGCACAGCGAACGAGGGGGTTTCACGCCGCGCGGCGCGGTGTGCGCGCGTGCGATCGCATGGCACGACCTCGCCCATTGGCGCTCATGGACCGAGATGCACGTTGACACGGCGTTCTTACGGGGCGGTCGCGCTAAACAGCGTCTGCCTGCATGTCAATCTCACAATCGGAATCTTTATTCGTGCTGGAGGAATCCGATGAGCTCTAAAGCTCTTTTCACATATGTCCAGGAGGGGCAGGTCAGAATGTTACAACAACAAACAATACAAGCACACAATAGGAGTTCAAGGTATAGGAAAGGTAAACAAGTTTGCCGAGCCCCTCCTGCTACTGCTACTCCCTGCCCCCGCCCCCCGGCTACGACCAGGCCTACCACTATTACTACCCCTATCACTACCCCTATTACAACCCCTATCACTCCCCCTACCACTATCACTACCCCTACCACTATCACTACCCCTATCACTACCCCTATTACAACCCCTATCACTCCCCCTACCACTATCACTACCCCTATCACTACCCTTACCCCTATCACAACCCCTATCACTACCACTATCACAACCCCTATCACTACCCTTACCCCTATCACAACCCCTATCACTACCCTAACCCCTCTTTAACCTCTCCCGCCTGTTCTCCTAACTGTCACCGTCACTACACCTCCACTCGTAACAACAGCCCCACTCTTTATCTCAACCACTATCATCTTACGTGCAATTTTACAACTGCTGTAAAGCACCTTGGAATAAGGCGCTGCTAGCCGCAGTAACGTTTAGCACGCCGACCTTGCAACCCAGAGGTCGCCTGTTCGACTCCATCTCCTGGCGGAGAGGCAGTCAAAAATAAATTTGGCGAGATTTTAAAATACCCCGTCACTGCCTCCGTCCTCCCAGCAGCGTAAACGGGCACACCGAAGTCGATGGGCAGGTGGCATGTGGTGGGGTAAAGTGTGGGCCCTTCCACCTCTTTCAAAAGCTTTGGCCAGCGTGGAAGAGGAGGACTAAATGCCTTGTGGAGGTGCTCTCTAAAGCTCCCTCTAGCGGAGGCCCTTCTGCCAGCAGTGGCGTTTGCAAGTAACTGCAGGGCTGCACCTTTACCTTTCATGCAATTCTTATTTAACGATTGCACGACAGAATGTTGCTGCCCTACCTCCCTGTAGCAGACCTCGTGTCGCTTCTGAGCCTCTCCCAGGGCCTCCTGTAGCTGAAAGATCCTCTTGTCCTTCTGCTGGATCTGAGGACGTCACAGCCGGCGGAGGAGCATAAACACACGGTTCACAATCGTTATCCGCGAGCGGAATATCCGGATGGATGTACGGATGAAGAAACAGACCAAAGGATGTACGGATGAATGAAGAGCAGGGTGGAAGAATGGATGAATACATGAATGATTAGATGGATGAAGTACGAAATGGATGCATGAATACATTAATAGATAAATGAATAGACGATTGAACGGATTGAAGATGAATTCATGGATGGATAAATTAAAAGACAAAATGAATGGCTTGATGCAGAAATGGATTGATGAATGGGTGGATGGATGAATTAATTAACTAAAAAACGAATAAATCAACGGATGGAACTTGCATCTGCAGCATGGGGTGTGTGCCTTACCTCTCCGCCGGAGGTCTTGTGCGCTTCCTCCAGGGCCGAGATGGTTCTCTCCAGTGCCTGCTGCAGGCGCGACACCTCCTGCTCCAGCTGACGGCTCCCGGCCACGGCCGCCTGCAGCCGAGAAACCTCCCCGGAGGCCTCGGCCGCCACCCGATGCGCCTTCTCCTCGGCCTTCGCCCGCTGGGGCCGCACGGGGAGAAAGGCCTCAACGTCACGACCCGGCAGAGGCGTCCCGCTCACGGGAGCCGCCAACTGGTCATCCTCCTTTTGCGCGCCAGAGGTCGCAACCGGGTACCCGATACCCGTACCCTACCCAATACCCGGCTACCCGTACCCGGCCGGGTACGGGTACGGGTACCCGTTTGCGACCCTGGTGCGGCCGGGTACGGGTAGGCCGTGAGTCACTGGTGAGTAACCGTTTGTCACTCATTTCGGGTAGGGTACGGGTAGGAAACGGCTACCCGTACCCGACCGGGTACGGGTACCCATTTGCGACCCTGGTGCGGCCGGGTACGGGTAAGGAATCAAAACCCGTTTGCGACCTCTGCTGCGCGCACAGCGACTCGAAACGGATGCGCTCCCCAGGTGTGTCGCTCTCACCTGGCCACGGGGTGCGTCTCTCACCTGGCCGTGCTCCTCCTCGAAGTGAGCGCGAGCCTCGTCCCGCTCGCCCCTCAGGCGCCGAAGTTCGCCCTCGCGCTCCCGCACCGTGCCCTCCGCGCCGTCGAGTGCCGAGCGCAGCGCGGAAACCTCCCCCTCCAGGCGGCTCGTCTACGTGGCCAGACAGCCGCCGACAGCGCTGCTCAGCCATCGCGACAACACCGAAGCTCCCTCGACCGCGGCCCGCGCCCTATTGCCTGGCCTGTCCCAGTCACAGGCCTGTCCCCCATCACACTTCTACCTCGCACACGGCCGATAAGCCAAATGTGAAGCCGACATTTCGGCAGTGCCAGCTTAGTGCTCCGACCCCCAAAGCTACCGGGCGACCACCACCACCAAAGTCAGGCACGATAAATCCACTGCTGGATGAAGGCCTCCAAAAGCCTCTACCGTTTTTCATGGTCCTGCGACGTAACACCGAGCACACCTGCTAGACGGGCCGATTTGATCGCTCGAATCTCCGGCGTGGTTCCCACCTCTTGGCTGCCACTCCCGTCTCGTTAGTCTTGACGACCGGCCATTGTCCCTCCTCATGAGGGCGTGTCCTACCCAGGCCGACTCTTAACCAACCACGTCACCCCCGCGATTGGCCCGGCGATCCGAGGCACCGCGCCGTACCTCCTGGGCCAACGCCCTGCATTGGGCTTCGGAGCCTCCCAGCTGCCCCGCCAGGTCACCCGCTTGGTCCTGGGCATCGCGTAAACCCATCCGCGCGGTGCTCAGCTCCTGCCGCGTGTCCATCAACACCTGGTTGGACTCGGTGACCTGAGCAGTCGACGGGAGCCCGAAGCCAAAGCATAACCGAGAATGAAATTTAGTCCCATGATCATCATCATCATCATCGTCGTCGTCGTCATCATCATAAGTAGTGACAGTTGCAATGATAAATAACACAATAACATATAAATGTAATGCTAACATATACCGCATTCTCCGAGTTGCGTTTCTAAAAGTACGCCGTACCTCAAGCGTTGGAGTCATTTTGGAAAAAGAGTGGGAATCAGGAGAATACGGCATTGCTGTGAAGGGGCTGTCTTCCAGACGATGATTATAAATGAACAGACTTCTTAAAAGTGGCAAGAGATGTCTTCTGGAAGATTATTGTGAATGGCCGCTAATGTTTTCTGTTTCCTGGGTAGTCATGTATTGCTATGGAGAACAGTCTTCCTTAAGATGATTCTAAGCGACTACATTTTCAAAGAGCCTTCTGGAAGGAAAATATGTTCTCTGCATAAAAAAAAGCATCTTATCAAATTACAAGCACATTGTTATTCACGCAATTGTTATAGTGCAAGGCTATCAGGAAGGGGCTATGTTTCACAAACATATTCTGGAGAAATTAAGTATACGAAAGGTAAAAAAATTACAAAATTTTTTATCTTACCAGGTAATGCCCACTGAGTTATTAGCTTCTCTTTCAGAAGCAGCTTGACCACAAATGATAGCTCAACAAAGTGGCTTATCACCACGTGGAAATTTAAAGCAGCCAAAAACAAAAGTGGTGAACAATCTCGCCGCACGCGCACGGTCGGGAGGACCACGAAGCCGTCTTGAAAAACACGCGGCACGAACTCCGAGCGCGGCGATTTGAGCTTCGAAACGGCGCGGAAACAACTCGTGAGATTCGAGCAACTTTCCCAGAAAACACCGGATCGACGACCCCCCCGCCGCCGCGCTGTCCCGGCTGCGATCTGTCACTGGGAAAAAAAGGGCAGTGCTTAACCGGAACCGCACAAACCATGGAAGATGCGGGCGGATACCTGATGCCGAATCAAAGACGTTACCCCTTGTACGCGGCTGCGAACACCAAACCGTGGACCGTATAATTTCACTCCGCCCCAAAATATAAATGTGCAGGTGTTGGTGTATCTGCAATTCACCACCTCTCAAAAAGAAACTGAACGGCCACAAAATCACAAACTGAATCTCTCATCATAGTTTGCTCATCACTGGCCGTACAAAAATCGTCGTCGTGACTGCGGGGGAGACTCGCGGGACTCGCCTGACTCCGTGCCTCCGAGAGCTCGTCCACGAGTTCCCTGTGTCGCGACTTCAGCTGGCGCACGTCGCCCTCCAGCCTCGCGATCTGTGAGGGCGAGAGCCAAGGCAGGAATCGGCACGAGCCTGACGTTCTTTATGAGCGTTTCCCAGCAAAAAGTCAGAAGACGTGAATGCATCAGCTCTGTCCATCCGTCTGTGACGTGCGGCTATGATAACGCGCGTAAAGTTGACACAATCTCAATTTGCAATTTAGTTTAAAGTTGCATTGCTATTCGGGACTTGCACTGTTGATAATTCATCGAAATTTATCAAAAAGTTTGCCCAAAACTGATGAAAACCTGACGGCCAACCGCCGACTTCCACAGTGGTGGCATCTTATTCGGCAACGGAATGAAGAAGCTCCCAGGACGTGCAACGGAACGTCGGACAATACGTGGTACAACCCGGAACCGCGTCGGAGAGCTGCACTGGATTCCATCCACTCACCTCCGTGGTCAGGACCTCCCGCTCGCTATCCCACGTGACCCGCTGTGCCTCCAGCCTGGCCTGCAGGCGTACCGTCTCCTCTAGAGCCCCACGGTGGAGCTCACTCACACGGGCCACCTCCGCCTCTGGCCTCGACAGCGCCTGCACCGCAGGGATTACAATCATCATTAACATCGTCAAACGTTGATTAATCCACTGCTGGGTGAAGGCTTCTTGCAAGTCGTCATCATCTTTCACGGTGTAACAACAGCGATGTAACAATCCACGCCAGCACCGACACACAATCTAGATTTTAAATCTAAGATTGAAAACTAATTTATTTGAAACTGATTTTTGTGTTTGGTTTGTTGTCCTCACCCGCAACTCCGATATGCACAGTTGGCTACGTACGGTGCGAAAGAATTTCAACATACATACATACAGTGCATACATCGGCTGAATTCATTGCTTCATCTCCTCGGTGGACATCCACCCGGACGTGTTTCATTCCGTGACGGCCACTCCGTCACTATTCCTGACCATCGGCCGTCATCCCCTCTGGCCATGACGTTGTCCTACCCAAGCCCACTTTATTATAATTCATAGGCTGAGTGGCACAAATCCGACAAAAAAATGAACATGTCGCATGAACATTAATGCATAAACACAGAGATGAAATGACAATTATCCCAAAAATATATAATGAACTCAATAACGAGCAGAGATGGCATGAAATACCATGACCTGCCATAAACACATGTTTATAAATGTGGAGACAAAAACCGGAGGACCTGGAGAAAAAAACAAGACCAAGGGGACAAACGGCAAAGTTCAAATACACAGCAAGCGTCAGGGATTAGGATCAAACCCACGACCTCCTGCATACCAGGCGAGCGAGTTAACATCTCGCCACCGTGCCCCTCCGGTGTACCCAACCTTAATAGGGTAAATCCCAAATGGTAACACAACTTTACACCAAAGACTGAATCGTACTGGAGCGTCTTCCCGAGCGTTCGAGTACGGCACGGCGGCAAGTGGCGGCCTACCTGCCGCGCCGGCAAGCTCGGCTGACCGGACAGGCGCGCCACCTCTTTGCGCAGGCACACGATCGTCTCCTCCCTGGACGCCAGGCGGGTCCTCATCTCCTCCAGCTCCGAGTCACGCCTGCGCACGCGGAGAGGGGGCGGCCACCATCAGGATCCCATCGTCATCATCCTTCGGCCAGTGCGAAGTACTTCATGGTCCCTGTAGAATTCTGACCCCGGGGTCTGTATACGATCATTTAAACCCCCCCCCAACCTTCGCCCTCCGTCCTCCCCCCCCCTTGCCCCCACCACCCCCTCGCCCCCCCCGCCTTACTCCTGCCCCCCACGATAATGTAATGCCCCCAGCGAGTTTGGGCAATTTTTCTTCCTCCTGAACATCTGCGAGAAAGAGTCGTATAGCTCATCGGATTCCGCCAGTATAAATACATATTCTGTCGCACCTGCAATGATGTTGTGCGTGAGCCTATTATCCTTGTACCTTACGACATACACAATCCAATTGAAACGGTGTTGTAAGAACCCTTGGGCAGACACCTTAAACCCAAACTCTAATATAATGCATGCTATTATGACCCAGAGGGGATTTACTTTTCCATGGATGCCATAATAGAAATTGTACCACGGGGTTGAAATTATATACACCCTTCTTCTCCGTATGGCTGGGGAAGCAGTCGTAGTTTAATGTCGAGGTTAGCAATCCATTCAATGGCTTCAGATGAGGCAGAGTGAGTGGTCGCGATGCCACGTGCATGGATCTCCCAGGGCCAGGAGTTCGGAAGGTGGGGAGATCGTCTGACTTGAGTAGTGACCACAGTCACCATTGTACTGCTCCTCACGCTCCACTTGTGGAGCAAGTGGCCGCATCGTCTTCCCTGGCCGTGTCCTCAAGCGGTCGAGGGTTGTCCAAGTTTTCCGTGGAAGGTCTTCACCGCTCGGGGTCAGTTACCAGGTTGCGTTCAGTGACGTTTTTGGTCAACGAGGAGTTGCGCCATCCAGAATTAGAGCTGTCATCGGTTTGAAGGGCTTGGAGTGATTTTTTTTATACTATTTTCATACCATGTAAGGCCCACTGAGCTATACAGCTCTCTTGCAGAAGTGACCTGGCCACAAATGATAGCTCAACGAAATGGCTTTCTAAAACACACATCGATTTTAGAGACCTGGAGAAAAATCCACACGACCAGGCGAAGAACGTGCAAAACTCCAATTTCATTATACAGGCGTCAGGGTCGGGATCGAACCCACGACCTCCTGTATACCAGACGAGGCAGATAACATCTCGCCACCGGGGCGAGATGTTAACTACCTCGTAGGGGCTGCGGAATTTCAGACGAGCGCATGGACTCACCCCCATCGCTGAGCGTTTCGAGCCGATGCAGGCCACAGATCAGACACCCCCAGCTTGCCAAGCAGGGGCCCCTCCCTCTCCTCCTCCTCCAGCCGCTGGTGTCGCCACGCCAACTGCGAGCGCAGGTCCTGCCAGGAGGCGACGGGACACACCGAGACGAATAACGGAGAAAGAAAACAACACGGAAACACTCACTCCGGGCTGCGCTGCCTGGGACACCTAGCCTGGCACAAATGGCACCGTGGGCTCGGGTATCATCGCCCTCACAAGACTTGACGGAATGCGCCGAGATGATGACGTCAGTGATCATGACAGACACTAATAACTGTTTGGAAAGTCGATGGGATGGACTGAAAATGTTTGTCACGTCCTATGTTTGGTCAACGACATGAGTTTGGGACCTTGTGAATTATAATTCGTAATGAGCACTTCGATACACGTGGTGAAAGATTCTATTCAATTACAGACAGTTCTGAACAGTATTTTTCGATTTATAGCTTTCGTGACTGCAGGGATTCATCTTCTTGGTTATTTTGGTAAAGTCACGTAGAATGAAAATAATAAAATAATAAAGATATAATTAAATAATTCTCACGACGTTTCAGCCACAACGCAAGCAGCCGTCCTCAAGTGAAGAACAGGTCTGTCGAGAAGACAGCGTCTGAAACGTCGTGAGAATTATTTTATTGTTTTATTTTTATGTAATCAACAAACTGCAGCGGTGGTCGTTTGAAAGAGATTTTCGCCAGCCAACTTAGACAAACGGATTTAGCTTCCAACGAGCCGCGTGAACTCTCCGACTTCACGTGAAAGTGCACTGCACAATCTTGGGCGGCCGTATCTTGCGATTGGTGTGGACGTGCATCTAGTATGCGGACGTACATTTACCATGACCTCCAGGTTCCTGTTATCGGTGGCGAGCCTCTCCGCTTCCTGCTGGTTCTCCGTGGCCCTCTCGATCGCCTCCTGTGTGACGACGAAAGCCTGCCGTCAACCCTAAGTGCACCCGAGCAATGCGCCATCTTCACACGCGCGTTGGGTGCGTTAATCACTGCTTATCCATCGTTTGCCTTTTCCCATCAACTTCGTTCCGGTTGTGCTGTCGGTGCCACGTCTCGAGACCAAGAATCCGTTCGGCAATATCGCATACACAGCACAGCGGTCCATGGAAGCGGATATCAGAGCTACTTCTGGGTTCAAACCCAGGACCTCTGCTATGCCAGCTCAGCACTCTGACCAGAGCCACCTGGCCAACTAGGCGATTCACTCCACCATCTCCATCCTCTCCACCCACTCCACCATCTCCACCCACTCCAACCACTCCAACCACTCCACCCTCTCCACCCTCTCCACCCACTCCACCCTCTCCACCACTGCACCCTCTCCACCCACTCCACCCTCTCCAACCACTCCACCCTCTCCACCCTCTCCACCCTCTCCAACCACTCCACCCTCTCCACCCTCTCCACCCACTCCACCCTCTCCACCACTCCACCCTCTCCACCCACTCCAACCACTCCACCCTCTCCACCCTCTCCAACCACTCCACCATCTCCACCATCTCCACCATCTCCACCCTCTCCACCCTCTGCACCACAGCGTGCCCGCGCGTCACCTGGAGGTTGTGGTGGCCCCGCTGGTGGCGCTCGGAGAGGCGCTCCACCCTGGCGCTCGCCTCCCTCTCCGCGTCCTCCGCCGCCTCCAGCAGCAGCTCGTTCTGCTCCTCCAGGTCACCCACGTACGAGCGCAGCAGCCGCTCCCGCATCTTAGGGTGACCCCCCCCCCCAACCACCAACCACGCAAGGTAGGACGTCATTGATTTACTCGCTCACTCGGCTAATCACTTTATTCAGAATAAAAAATATTTGTTTATATTGGAGAAATCCGATGAGCCATGAAGCTATTTTTTTTCGCAGATGTCCAGTAGGGGCAGGTCACCTGGCTCCCCGGCTCATCAATACACCGGCTCATTCATTAATTGCTGCATTCTCACCGGCTTATTCATTCACTTTCATTTATTCACTCACAGGCTCATTCATTCACTATATAAAATCATTCCTTTATTAACTGCCTCATTACTTCATTCATTCAATGCCTCATTCATTAATTCACTGGCCCATGTATGTATTCACTCGCTGGGTCATTAATTAATTGAGGTGAGCAACACTCGCTCACGCATCTGGATAGGCAGGTGGCTTATTAATTCACCATCATGACGGCTCGCTCGCTCAGTCACTCAACCGTTAAACTTCTTCATTAACATGTTCATTAATTGGCTCGTCTGCTCACTCCTCCGCTCATTCATTCACTAAAATGGCAATTAATTTACCCAATCCCACACCTATTTAGTAACCTGTTCATTCAAATTGCTCTTCGGCTCACTCACTGGCTCATTCATTCACTCAGTGGCCCATCATTCATTCATTCATTGACCCACTCTCTCGCCTATTCAGTTAAGCGGCTAATTCAAATGGCTCTTTGGCTCACCCACTGGGTTATTCATTCACTGAATGGCACACTAATTCATTAATTGACCCACTCGTACGCCTACTCAGTCAACCGGTTAATTCAAATGGCTCTTTGGCTCAACCACTGCCTCATTCACTCAATGGCACATTCATTCATTCATTGACCCACTCGCTCGCCTACTCAGTCAACCGGTTAATTCAAATGGCTCTTCGACTCACCCAATGTCTCATTTATTCACTCAATGGCCCATCATTCATTCATTGACCCAGTCACACGCCTATTCAGTCAACCGGTTAATTCAAATGTCTCTCCGGCTCACTTCCCCCGCTCATTCATTCATTCAATGCCCCATCATTCATTCATTGACCCAGTTACACATATATTAGGGAATCGGTTAATTCAAATGTCTCTCCGGCTCACTTCCCCCGCTCATTCATTCATTCAATACCCCATCATTCATTCATTCACCCACTCGCACGCCCACTGTCAACCCATCAATCAAACCGTCCTCGACTTCCCCACTGCCTCATCCATTCATTCACCAAATCCTTCGCCCACCCAACTCACTCACTCAATCACCGACGACATCAATCCGAGCCCCAGCTCACCCTGAGCGTGTCCTGCCCCGCCAGCTCCGCCTCTTCGAGCCTCCGCAGCTTCGCCTCGTACAGCTGCCGCACCTCGGCGAGCAGAGCTCTGGTCTCGTCTCTACGCGCCCCTCTTCCTCCTCCTCGGCCGGCCTCTCCCCCCGTGCATTCGACCGGCAGACCAGGCGCGCCGAGCCTCGTGGCGATCCGTGTCCCGACGCCGGCTGGAGCATCTCCCGCCGCGCGGAGCCCATTTGCGCGCCCAGGAATCATCGTCGTCGTCGTCGTCCAAGCGAGCAGCACCAAACAACCAACACCTGTGCTCGCTTAAAGTTTTACGAACGATTTTGAATGTCCATTCGTAACGCATGCCACGGGTACGGGCGCTGCACTGCTAGAAGTCCATCAGCTAAGCTGTAACGCCGCTGTGTTATTAACTTTAGCGGCCACTGCTGTGGTGGTGGTGATGATGATGACGTTTGTCGCCGCTTTGCCAGCAGCCTTTCCGAAGCGGACCGTTTGGATTCCCGCTTCGCGTTTCGTAAATGCCCCCCTTTGTTTTGTTTGCTGGCCACACCCCCGCCTTCTCGGCCACCGTTCGAGGCTTATGTGGGGCGGGTGGGCGTTGGAGGGGAGGGGGGGGGGCGACTTTCCCGCGATGCTATTGGTCCGTTTGGGTGCGTCACGTGGGTTGGGGGGCGGGGTCACTTGCGGTGGGTGTCATGGCTGCGCCCTGAAGAGGCGTGGGTTGCGCGTGTTGCCGGGCAACGCGGAGAGGTCAGTTTGACGATTTAAATTTATTAATTATATTGTCGCGTCTTGATTTTTTTTTTACGAAAAAAAAAACAACAACTTGTATTTACTTATTTATTTGTTTAAGTGTGGAGTGCGTGCGTGCGAGAGAGCGAGCAGTGCGCGGCTCACAAGTTCCGTGTCCAGTAGCGATAGCAGCGGTGTGTGGTGTAAGTGTTTCTGTGTGTGTACGTGTGGTGTACGTGTGTTTCTGTGTGTGTGCGTGTGGTGTACGTGTGTTTCTGTGTGTGTACGTGTGGTGTAAGTGTTTATGGGTGTGTACGTGTTTCTGTGTGTGTACGTGTGTTTCTGTGTGTGGCGTAGTGGTTAGTGCGCTGTGCGGTGGACTGACAACGCTCTGCGCGTACTTTATGTATTCCTGCCAAAGTCCAACTTGGTGAACTGCACGGCAGACGCCAATGCTGTGCCGGTTATATTAACATCCTTTACATTTGCTTTCATGGCTGCTTGGTTGCTCGTCCTTTCAACATTTAAATCTTTCCCACAAGCGAGCGTATGTTTGTGCGCCTGTATGTGCGTGTGGGGAGCGGTGGGGTAGCGGTGAGCGCGGTGCGCTACGAACCCGGCGGCCCGAGTTCGATTCCAGATCACGGCCAACACCAGTGACGATTATCTGAACCGGGTCCTGGGTCTCCCCCTAGGTCGACTAAGCCTCAAATGAGTACCTGGTGCGGTGTGTAAACATCGCCACTAGGGAGACAAAGGCGGCCGGGCTTGGTGCTGGCCCACCCACCCCCTCGTGTGCCGTGCCGGCCTTCATAGGCGCTCGCAAACAGCACTTGCCCCTACAGTCTGTTAAGGCTACACGGGGGATCCTGATTATTGTACGTTTAGGCCCCGGATATCCAAAAGCGAAGTGTGGGAGAAATCGGCGGGAAGTTGTTGCCCGCGTCATAGGAATGTGGAATTTCCATCACTTGCTAGAGGGGCGCCAATGGATGTGATCGCTTGAATGTGAAACTCGGAAGATCCGTCCACCCTTTTGTGAGGTGACGAGGTGATAGGAATTTTTAAAAAAATGTGGGCAAAGAACCCGAGTCTCTGTCGCTATTGCTCACGGAGATGTTCACTCAATCGCGGACTTTGACTCGGCTTTTTCTTTTCCGTTGATGCCATGTCAAAGGGCATCGCTTCATTTTCGTGTAGGCTTAACGGGGTCAGGGCAGTGCTTTTGTTCGCCTTTTCCACTCCACGGCACTCACTTTAGAACTTGCGCAACCTTTTGCGGCACACCGAACCCAAAACAAACAATCACTGGACAATGGAGATGGGAGTGGTTTGCCGGGATCGGCTATTGAACGGCACGGGAAGTGGATCTGGCCCGAGCTTGCAAACTGCGACGTTCTTTCCTATACGGCAAACCCTTGGTTCCAAAGTTCTGGGTCACAGGCGTATGGGTTACAGCTACTACCACACCTGACTCTTATACATCTGTTGCACTCTGCAGGCACCCGGTTGTTTTTTCACTATAGAAACAAAGCTGTACCACTGACATCGCACGCAATGAACAAGTCGAGTCATATCTAGACGATGCGTTTCGGTGAATCGTTTTCACCTGGTCCTGCTTGGCCCTGTCAGCTTATCACGATTTTGTCATGGCTCGGCACAGAAAATAACCAGTGTAAATAAACAAAAAATCATACCGTGATAGCCACATGCTGGCATGCTGGTACAGCACAAACGTGCCAATGGAAAAGGGGGTATTAGTTGAGAGAGGAGTGTGAGTTTTAGAGGACGAATGACCTTTGTGTTCTCCGTCCACAGCTTTTCGTGACCATGTGCCCTGCCCCGAGCATATCCACTGCCAGGGTCGGGGAGGGCATGGCCTCCAAGCCGCCTGCCCCCCCGAGGCGGGTGCTGCGAGTGAGTCAGCTGGACGCACTGGAGCTGGATCGCATGCTGGAGCAGCTGCTGTGGGAGCAACTGGGCCGCTGCTTCCAGGTGAGAAGGCGTGCGAGCACCCGTGTTCAATATCCACATGGAGGGGGTAGCGTACAGGTACCCTCGCCATGGCCACATCTTAGCTGGTGCCCTCTTAACTGCCAGCTTGTTTATTGTGTCTTCGTTCCGTAACTCCATGGGGTCCTCGCGAAATTAACAATCCAGTGAAGGTAATGACCACGAACATCTTTTTAAGTTGTGTATTGGCGTTAGAATTTTTTTTTTTACTTCGACAGAATTGTGCTTATGTTTGTTACTTAGCTCTGGCACAGGCATAACGAGTCTTAAGAGTAATAAAGTAGGAGGTTGTCGGGTTGCCCAGAGATCAAAATGCTGAGCTGGCACCGCTGACATCCTGGACTTGAATCCCATCAGCCACCTGTGATTAAACCAGCTTCTCAAGTGTGGAAAGTTGATGGTCGCAAGCCCAGTCACCAATGAGCAGACAAAAAAAATAAAATCCACGCTAAATTTCGGTCTGCACTGAATTTGAGTAAATTCCAATGCTGAGATTTTAAAAAATAATGGGTCGAACGTCACGTGACGAGCGTTATTGCGACGGCCGCACTTGACGTTGCAGGCGTTCCGCCCGGGCCTGCTGGTGGGCTGGGAGCCCGAGCTGCGAGCCCTTCTGCGCCTGCTGCTGTGGCGTTTCACGCTGTACTCGAGTGAGGCCACCGTCGGCCAGGCCCTGCTCAACATCCGCTACAGGTGGGCGTGGGCAACGCTGTGTTGAGCGAGGGGGATTCCAACCACTGCTCTACGTATGTTGAACTTCTTTCGCACCATACGTGGCCAACCATGCTAATCGACGGTGTGGGTATAGGCTGATTGGTGGCTCCGGCTAGCTGATCGGTTAGTTAGCCGGTTCTTTTCTTGCAGGATTGACGTTACCACAAATGTTTTGCAGTCAATTCAACACGACACGCGCGTGTACACGTGTGCGTGCGAGCAGCTACAACCACGGGGGCCGCCACGTATCCCTGAGCCGCCGGCAGAAGCTGTGGTTCGCGGCTCTCACCGTGGGCGGCGGCTGGGCCAGCGAGCGCTGGCGAGACATCTACCCGCGCGGGGCGGGCAGCGACGGCTCCTCCGCGCACCACGCCGACGGCGGTGGCAGCGGCGCGATGGGCGCCGCCGGCGGGCTCGGCTACAGATTCGTGACCGGCGGCAGTGCCGCCGCGCTCTTCCCCCGGCTGAAGAAGGCGGCGGGGACGGCGCTGGGGCTGCTGGGAGCCGCGCAGCTGCTCGCCTACGTGGTGTTCCTTCGCACGGGCACCGGGCTCTCGCTCACCGAGCGTCTGCTCGGCCTGAATGCCGTGCAGGCCCGGCCGCAGGGTCTGCGGCAGGTAAGGGACGACGCGTCGGCCGCGTGACCATTCACCCGCTCGCTCGGGGCCGTCCTGAATAGCTCCCCGATGCGTTGTGTCAGGTTGAACCGCGTGCTGTTCGGCATGATGTCTTGACTTTTTCATCAACGTGCCAGGAGCTTCTTCAGGAACTCGATAGTTCTTGGAGATTTGCCGAAGAAGCTACCAGCAGAGGGAGTGAAACATTACACATCATTTTAACACGTAGGCTTTCGCGACCAATGTTATTCATAATCAACGATTTTTTGGGTTTAGATCGCGTTTATTTATAAATGTGTCGTAACCCTCCACCACCCGACACGGCCAATCAGTAAAAAATGTGTCACGTTGACAAAGACAAATAGTTCACTGCTTTAGCCCACCGGTGTGTTGAAGCAACAACATTCACAATTTGAGTACGACGTTTCGCTGGTAATTACAACCAGCATCATCGGGCAATTCGCCAGAATGGTGAGGCTCTCCTGTGTCTCCCGTTCTTATATAGAGCAGCAGCAGGATGACGTCATCATTAACTCATTAACTCATCAGGTGCAAAGATTCAAGGGGGGAGTGATTGTAATTATATACTAGATTAGTAATCAGGCTATTGTTACGATGCGAGTTGTAGATTAGTACTCATTTGGAATGTGTTTTATTGTGATTATGCTACATTAGTAATCTGTTAGTGGTTGTTTCCCTTATAAGTAATTGTAATGTATCTTATTTAATAATACGCTTCCAGGCCGCACTAAGCCTGTAGCTGTCTGAGCGATTAAAGTTATTTCTGTTTCTCTCAATTTCAATCGATTCTCTAATTAGTCTTTGCCAGTAGTAACTAGTTTTACACAACACTTCCACGTTGTCAAAATCAATTGAGTGTCCCTGTTGGCATGCATGTTCTGCTACTGCCGACAGTTGTGTTTGTGAAAGTTTAATATTTCTCTGGTGTTCTTTAAGTCTTACACTAACGTTACGCCCTGTCTGTCCAATATAGCATCTGCCACATACACAATTAATCCGATATACACCTTCTGTTGATAATTTAGGTAATTCGTCTTTAGTGCACGTTACTAGTTGTTGAATTTTGTGTACTGTACCAAATCTTACTGTAATGTTTTGCTTTTGCAAAACACGGGCTAATTTATCAGTTACTCCTGAGATAAATGGTATTTTTATTGTTTTAATAATCTGATCGCTTTCAGCAGTGTTGCTTTGCGATCGTGATTTGGCTTTTAGTGCTCTGTTAATTTGAGCATTATTGTAGCCATTCTGTCTTAGTGCTTCTTTAACATGTTTAATCTCTCTCACTAGACTTTCACCATCTGACACTGTTTTAGCCCGATGTATGAGCGTCTTGATAAGAGAGGATTTCTGAGCTGGGTGATGATGCGAATCTGCATTCAGATAGGCATCAGTGTGCGTTGGCTTTCTGTAAACGCTGTGTGTTATTTTACCGTTTGGGCCATGCCCAAGTAAAATATCCAGGAACGGGAGTGTGTTATTCACCTCCATTTCCATGGTGAACTGAATGGCCGGGTTTTGTGCATTGAGATGATTTAGAAAATCGTTAAGTGTATCTTTACCATGTGGCCAGACAACCAAAGTGTCATCCACATATCTAAACCAAAAGGATGGTTTTAATGTGCTCGAGGCAAGTGCTCTGGTTTCAAAGTTTTCCATGTACAAATTTGCTATAGCAGGAGATAAAGGAGAGCCCATTGCTGCTCCCTTCATTGGCGTTCCTCAAAAGGTGCAGAGATTCGAAGGTAATACCAAACGCAGTTAAAATAACACATCACATAAAGTCTTCTAAGGCTAACAAAATACTACACAAAGCTAGCGAATTATTATTAATAGAGAGAATACAACACAACAGGAGTGAATTATCCAACATTTCTGAATCGCTAAAGCATTTACATTTAAATATAAGCAATAGTGTGTCCATGCATGATTGGAATATAATCGATACTATAACACAACAATCGGCTGATAATGTGTTTAATCTAACAAATGCTAACCAAATTAACAAATTTTCTAGACTTTACAATAAACAAATCCCTATTAAAAACGAACAATTTGAAAACAAAACCGTAATGAACTTGACTAACACTGATTTAACCACTGACATGATTTCTGTCCTTTCTAAAGGCCTTAACTTTGCCGTTACCCCACGCACAATTCCAGTGGATGAGATAATTGCTGAGGTAGAATCAGCAGTAAGACTCCTTCCACATAATGAGGCAGAGATGACTAGACACGAGGTTGCCAAAATTATTGAGAATAGTAAAGTACCTAAAGTAAATATTAGCTCGAACGAGGCAAAAGCCTTAAGAGAGCTTCGTCTAAACAAAGATATTCAAATCCTAGCAGCTGACAAGGGCCGCACTACAGTAGTGATGTCACGAGCCGATTATGATAATAAAATTAAAGATTTATTAGAGGAAAGTACCTACATTAAAATTAAACGAGATCCAACTAATACTTTGGAACGTAAGACTACTGCAATCATTGCAAATTCATTAATCCCAAAAAATGAGCAATTCCTAATGAAGCCAAGGGCTTCAAAACCACCTAGACTGTATGGGCTACCAAAGATCCATAAAGTCGGCATCCCTTTACGACCTATAGTCAGTACAATTGGCTCTGCCACCTATAAAAAAAAAAAATTAGCAAAATATGTAACTAAACAAATTCAGCCTTACATCGGTAGGACATCATCATTCATAAGAAATTCAGAACATCTTGTGAATATGATCAAAGATATTAAACTTAACCCTAATGATATTTTGGTGAGTTTTGATGTGATTTCGCTATTCACTAAGGTTCCAGTGAGCGAGTCGCTTAAATTACTTGATACATTGGTAAAGAATACAGGTTTACCAAAAGATATTCCGAAACTCGCAGACCATTGTTTGAATACCACTTACTTCTTATGGAGAGGCGAATTCTTTAAACAAAGGGAGGGAGCAGCAATGGGCTCTCCTTTATCTCCTGCTATAGCAAATTTGTACATGGAAAACTTTGAAACCAGAGCACTTGCCTCGAGCACATTAAAACCATCCTTTTGGTTTAGATATGTGGATGACACTTTGGTTGTCTGGCCACATGGTAAAGATACACTTAACGATTTTCTAAATCATCTCAATGCACAAAACCCGGCCATTCAGTTCACCATGGAAATGGAGGTGAATAACACACTCCCGTTCCTGGATATTTTACTTGGGCATGGCCCAAACGGTAAAATAACACACAGCGTTTACAGAAAGCCAAGGCACACTGATGCCTATCTGAATGCAGATTCGCATCATCACCCAGCTCAGAAATCCTCTCTTATCAAGACGCTCATACATCGGGCTAAAACAGTGTCAGATGGTGAAAGTCGAGTGAGAGAGATTAAACATGTTAAAGAAGCACTAAGACAGAATGGCTACAATAATGCTCAAATTAACAGAGCACTAAAAGCCAAATCACGATCGCAAAGCAACACTGCTGAAAGCGATCAGATTATTAAAACAATAAAAATACCATTTATCTCAGGAGTAACTGATAAATTAGCCCGTGTTTTGCAAAAGCAAAACATTACAGTAAGATTTGGTACAGTACACAAAATTCAACAACTAGTAACGTGCACTAAAGACGAATTACCTAAATTATCAACAGAAGGTGTATATCGGATTAATTGTGTATGTGGCAGATGCTATATTGGACAGACAGGGCGTAACGTTAGTGTAAGACTTAAAGAACACCAGAGAAATATTAAACTATCACAAACACAACTGTCGGCAGTAGCAGAACATGCATGCCAACAGGGACACTCAATTGATTTTGACAACGTGGAAGTGTTGTGTAAAACTAGTTACTACTGGCAAAGACTAATTAGAGAATCGATTGAAATTGAGAGAAACAGAAATAACTTTAATCGCTCAGACAGCTACAGGCTTAGTGCGGCCTGGAAGCGTATTATTAAATAAGATACATTACAATTACTTATAAGGGAAACAACCACTAACAGATTACTAATGTAGCATAATCACAATAAAACACATTCCAAATGATTACTAATCTACAACTCGCATCGTAACAATAGCCTGATTACTAATCTAGTATATAATTACAATCACTCCCCCCTTGAATCTTTGCACCTGATGAGTTAATGAGTTAATGATGACGTCATCCTGCTGCTGCTCTATATAAGAACGGGAGACACAGGAGAGCCTCACCATTCTGGCGAATTGCCCGATGATGCTGGTTGTAATTACCAGCGAAACGTCGTACTCAAATTGTGAATGTTGTTGCTTCAACACACCGGTGGGCTAAAGCAGTGAACTATTTGTCTTTGTCAACGTGACACATTTTTTACTGATTGGCCGTGTTGGGTGGTGGAGGGTTACGACACATTTATAAATAAACGCGATCTAAACCCAAAAATCGTTGATTATGAATTACACATCATGCTGACCAACAGCACGCGGTACAGCCCGAAAACAACATCGGAGAACGATTCAACGCAAACGCGCAAACCTACGCAAGTGCAAATCCTTCACCTGTCCCAGATCTGTACGCGCTCGTTAACATTAAATTGTCTCCGTGGTGGCCGAACATCCCTCCTCATCCCCTCCGAACTCGTGTGCGGCTCTGCCAGGTCGGCTTCGAGTACATGAACCGTGAGCTGCTGTGGCACGGCTTCGCCGAGTTCCTGCTCTTCGTGCTGCCATTGGTCAACGCGGCGCGCCTGCGCTTCTCGCCGACGGCGCACGGTCGCGCCGGTGGCGCCAAGGACCCGGCGGAGGCCGGCACAGCGTGTGTGGCGTGCGGCGAGTGGCCCTGCCTCCCGCACACGGCCGGCGGTTGCGCCCACGTCTTCTGCTACTACTGCCTGGCCAGCCGGCAGGCGGCCAGCGCCGATCTCGCGTGCCCGCGGTGCGGCTCGCCGGCCCGCCGCATGCTGCCGCTCAGAGTCGCGGCGCTGGAGCGGGGCAGAGTGGAGGGCGAGACGGGCGAGCGCTTCGGATAATGAATGATTAAGTAACGATTAAAAGGAACAAAGTTCGTTTTCAAGTTCGTTCGTCAAGTGCGGTAGCGTGCGCCGCAACAGCGCGTAGCAGCGTCGCCACGCTCCGTCATCAAAACCGAGAGGTCGCAGCTGACGAAATACCGCCAATTGAGCGCCCTTCCTTGGGGTCCCTCCTGTCATAACATCTTGACAGAGGCAACTCAACGATGGGAAGAAACTAAACGGATCGCCCACGTGTGAGAGGGGTTAAGGTGCGCCCCGTTTGTTTATCGGAAAATGGTGCAGAATGGGCATCTAACATTGCATTGATTATCAATTATATCAATATATGCAGTGAATTGTGCTTGAAGATTTGATTATTCACAATTTATAAAAATATAAATATATTTGATACGGTTACATTTCGGCCAATGATCCGAACAAAACTCGCGACAGAAAAAAACAAGATACAATAAAACGTGACAAAAAATTGATTTTTGAGTTGCATCGCAATCCTCAATCGTGATTTGTATAATCGCCAGTGCGGTGTGGATAGTTAAATGGGTATCATTCAGTGGGGGGGGGGGGGGGGGGGGGCATTGGCTCTGGTGCCAGAAATTAAATGGACCCCCCGCCTTCCCCACTTCAATCTCGTCCCATTCCGTAACCTGGCACCTTGGTTGCTCCGGGTCCCCCGTGGTCCCCCGGCGTAATTGTACTGCCTGCCTACTCAGGAGCCACTACGCCCCTGCTGAAGGATTACTATTCGGTTAATGGAGCGAACAAAACTGTGCAAACAAGGCAGAGAAAACCTATTTAATCCTGCATCGTATTGTAATCCCGATCGGCCACATACTGAGTACGGAGCGCTTCTGACCACTCATCAGTCGACCGAGGCGACGCGCAGAGCGCTTGCGTTCTTGCGACATTGTGGACCATCGGCATGGAATTCACGTTAATCCCCTTTTATTTTCTCTGCTCGCGAATTCTCGGATAGTCTCCTAGACACACCGCACACAGCTCGTGTTTGTACAAACGCAGGCGTGGGGTTTGGCCAAACTGTGTGTGTGTGTTTATGATCGCACGTTTTTATTCCACATCGATTGCCAAGATGTCAGGGGCTCTGAGGTGGGGAGGAGGTGGCGGTACAGCAATTGTTTAGTCCACATGAGATTTGGTCTGTTGGATCTGCTTTGTGGATGTACATCTCAATTGCAGGACCCTTCTGAAAGAGAGTTACCGAGGCTCGGGTCGAGGTTTTCCTTGGTGCGTGTGCATCTCCACGGCCGGACAAGGGCCTCGCCACGCAGGCCATGGCGGTTATTTCACCTAGTTCCGGTCGGTGAAGGTGGCGAACGTGAACGTAGGAGCATACAAGTACAGTCCAACAAGAATTTTCTGCACTGCCCTCCGCTGACAACCAAGTAGCTCCATAGCTGCCTTTGACCAATTGTTTGTGCATGGTTATCACTTATCGAGTGATTTGGTCGTAGGCTGTGGAAATGATTGAGAATGTATTACACTGGTCAACAACAAAAAAACAATTTTTTCTGGCCTGGACTTTTGCAGCTGTTTTAGACTAATTTCAGGGTGCTGATCATTTTTATGATATCGGCATACCCCATTTTCATTGATTTTGCCCGAAATTAACTCTGTCACTTATGATTGCAAGTTGTTGCGAGTCAGTGACTGCTTTAGTGTTAAAATATGGTGCTGTATTTTTAGGATAGTGTGTTTATAATATAATTTTATGTAGATATCCACATTTAATATTTTTCTTCTGCAGTTTTTATTGAAAATGCAATATTTGATATCTCAAAAACCTGATGTGATAGACAAAAACTGATGCCAGATTTGGAATCAGCACCCCAAAATTACCTTAAAACCGTTGGAATACCTTGTGCCAGAAAAAGTGTGTTGACCAGTGTTATTGTTGTGAACATTACTGCCTTGCTACCACTCACCAGCAGAGAGTGCTGTGGGTGTATGTGCCGGTACCGGTGCCTTGTGCAGTTATGTTGTGCCACCTGGTCTGGTGAAAAAGCAAGATGAAGTCTCACAATGAACTTCATTAAATCTATATTTGGAGAAGCTGTTAAAAATGTAATTAGCAGAAAATGAGTACAATTTCGTCTGAATTAAGACCTACTTAGGAGGTGTTAATTTAGTTGAAGAATTTAAATATCAACAATATTGCACCGTGTTAGTTTCACGGCTGCGTTACTGGATCATGATATATCTTTTTTTAAAGCTTGAAATAATTGTTTTTCTCAATGCACTTTTTTGGTAATTCTTATTTTTCGTTTCAGGGGAAGTTTGCACGGAGGGGATGATTAACATGTGATGTTTAAATGGCATAAACTTAAACAAATGGAAAATTACTGATAAATAAAAAATTTATTTGCAGCTCATTGTCAGTCGACTGCTGGATGAATGCCTCACCATGCCCAACGGTCACGGTAACTGTTTGACTATACTTCACCACACTGGTCATTTCGAGTGAGAAAAAGAGCTTTCTAGCTCATCAGATTCCTTCAGTATAAATAAATATTCAGGTTCTGGTTCAGATATTACTCGGAACTGGTGTTATCCATCGCCGCCAATTGAATTCAAGTCACCAGATTCATAGGGTAGTGCGCTAACCGCCGCACCACCGCTCCGCTCCAAAGAACAGTATTCCTAATTGATCAAATTTAGTGCACAAATTGTTTTTAACTTATCGACGAATCATATTGTGACACGTGAATAGGCTGAAATCTGAACAGACCTGCAGGTCTCTACGGCCCCACGCCGCTCTGTGTTTCGCTGCTAAAACTCTTTATGCAACGGGAAGCGATGACACATTGCTCCATTGTCCTCGCGTCTTCGCCCTCCGCTGGCCAATTTTACCGACCACTTATAAGTCCCTTTGCCAAGAGGACGTTGTTGCGGAGACGAGACAAATCCATCAGCGCGATCCTTAATGGCCGCTTTCATTGTGCCGATGTATACTGCTGCACTGCCACGAATAGCACCCTATTTTTCACATTGACGCCACTTGTGTCTTCCACGTGCCTGGTTATGAGGCCGTTACGAGACCAAGAACCGTGGCTTCCAAGCGAAACGACAGGCCATCCATCCGTCCACGCCATCGTTTCCACACAATAGGTTTTTTTCGCGGTTTAGCTGCGATGTTTGTTTTATTTGTAACGACCGTTTTATGCTTCTACAAATCCTCAACGTACATTTCTTAAGAGCTGCGTGTGTGTTTTTGTTTGTTTATTGTTGCTGAAGTCCTCCGCGAAGCGTGCAACGGAGTAAGCGCCGCGATCTGCGTGCGTGCCGCGTTTGCGCGCCTGACCGCTCGAATGGATATGGCGACTAAAACCAAATCGACGCAAAAAACCGTGTTCCCCAATTCTACCGCGGGGGTCTTCACGGTTGCGCCGTATAGCTGTAAAGCCCTCCCGACGTGTCTTCGCAGGTTGTCACCGCCGCCGCGTGGTTTATGGCATCTCAATATACCGCCGGTTGTTGCTGGCCTTGTGACGTTTTGAGTATTTGGGTTTGTGCAGGGCTATTGTGATGTGTAAGAACTAATAAAATTTACTTCGCCTGAAGTTTCGGTTCCGGGTGCTGAGAGAGTGTCTGGCTCGGTTCAGAAGGCTCTCCGGTTTTTCCCTCCAGATTTATAATCGGCATGCGTTTAGATTCGTTTTGCTGCTATACATTTCCACATGATAAGCCACTTCGTTGAGCTCTCATTTGTGGCCAGGTCGCTTCTGAAAAAGAAGCTTAATAGCTCAGTGGGCTTGACCTTGTAAGATAAAAACATTTTAGCTTTATTTGTATTATTTTTTTAAGTGATTTGTTTACCTTTATATTTTGCACTCTTATCATATTTGTGTATTGTTGTGCCAATCTAACCTGCCCCTACTGGACATCTGTGAAAAATAACTTCAAAGCTCATCGGATCCCACCAGCATAAATACATATTCTGATTGCGAATATCCTGGAATCAAATCACAATCCTCGCTGCGGTGGGTCATGAAGACTTTGATGAGGTTTGGAAATGCCTGCACCATAGGACGGCCACTCAACAATGTTTCCACATGGATGTATGCTCATCGGATTCTTCCAGTGTAAATATTCTGATTCAGTTCCTGAAGAAGCTCCCGGCACGCTGAGCGAAACTTCGGAGGTGTTGCCAAGTGATGCGATGACTCGTATGCCGCTATGCAGAAGAGAGAACAAAAACAACAATCTGCGTGACGCGCTGTTGTCATCTGTCGTAAACAAAACCCCCAGTACGCTCACACATTGGCATAAAAAAACAAGACAAAGCCAACCGCGCGTAAGTGTAACGTGGCTTAACGTGCATCTGTCGGCCGGCGACGCGGAGCACTTGTGACAGATCACACCCCTGGGTTTGCGAGTTGGAGAGGCCTCCCCGCTCGCCAAAACATCGGCGGCACTTTCATTATAACGTCGGTTCTTTTAAACAAACACACCGATGGCATTGTCTCTATCCGCATTGCAACTGTCATGCTCGTGGCGTGCCTGGGATGCCAGATGTCATCGGTTTGGGATGTGAGGCATCGGGGGGGTCTCAGCTGAGCGGGATTTTAACTTTGTTCGTACTTAATTTTATTTAGAGAGGCGTAGCGCCGTTTGTTTTTAAATACATTGTCCTCACCGCAGAGAACTGAAGCGACACGACCGGCACTCTGTGATAGCTGGTGTCAAATTGGGCCACATGCCCTCCCGCATAGCCTTGTGGGAGCTTCGGGACTGATAGTTATTTCATTTTAGTTTGTTTTTATCTGGTTCGTGAACGTCATCGGACTGGGTGGGGAGGGGGGGGCTGGGTGGGGAGGGTGGGGAAGGGCTGGGTGGGGAGGGGGTGGGAGGGGTGGGGCTGGGTGGGGAGGGGCTGGGTGAGGAGGGGCTGGGTGGGGAGGGTGGGGCTGGGTGGGGAGGGGCTGGGTGTGGAGGGGCTGGGTGGGGAGGGGCTGGGTGGGGTGGGGCTGGGTGGGGAGGGGCTAGTCACCCCGTGGTGCCCTGATAAAACTCAACGTTTAACCTACTCACGCCGGCTTGTGCCCGCCCTCACAGTCGGGCATATTTGCGGAATACACCACGCCGCCGTTGACCCTGGCCATTGACCGAGCAACCCAACGTTCCTACCAGCTCCCTCCGCAGGACAATGTGTTTAGTATCCACTCTCACGGGTGATGTCCAGCGAATGGGAAATATCGATGTTCTCTTATGAAAATGACACGGAGTTGGGCAAAGTGGCTCGTCCAGGTGCCGTTACGGGTTTCGATGGGAACCGGTGTAATTTGATTTTAATACACATATATAATAATAATACAATCGGAGACTCGCAATTAGCGTCGGGAACACGCCTGGGCCGGGCGTTAATGGATTCTCTCGCCGTGACCCATTTCTAGGTGGGTGGGGTGGGAGCGACGCTTTGAGGATGCGATGCAGCTCTTGTTAAGCCCCTGTCGCGGTTATCGCTCCACTTCCAGAATCCACGCCCCTCTCCGTGACACCAACACGAGAGCCAATCGAGATTCATAGTCTCCGATGTGATGATGGTTACACGGGAACGTCATCGGTTAATTGCCATGTTTAAGTTGCAGGCATTTAGCTCTCTGATGGGATTTCGGAATTTGTACAACGAGTATCGTTCGGCATCGTGTCCCGCATTTTCCTCTCTGCCCTGGGAGCTTCTTCCGAAAATGAAACAGTCAGGACAATACGCACAATGTATATTAAACTTATTTCGCACCACGTACGTAGCCAACTGTGCTAATCGGAGGTGCAGGGGATGGACTACAAACTAAACACACACAAAAACAGTTCTAAAGAAATTGGTTTTCTTTAGAAGAAATTAGTTTTCTTTAGAAGTGCTACAACCTGAAAGTAAATCAGAACGCTAACCACCGCCTGTTATATATTTTTCCTGCTATTGATGAATGTGTTGAGTAGGTTTTTATTTCCCAGGGTGGTGTTCAGGGGTTGAACTGTGATGATGATGATGTTGTTGATGATGAAGCTGTCGGTTTGTGCATTCTACGAACTCGTGAGCCTACCAACCCACATGTCCCTCCACTTGCTGAGAGCTTCAATTAAAACACACACACGTGCGACTGCATTTACAAACTCACGATATTGGCTCACAGAGACTAATCATAACCCGGGAGAAGCTTCCGGCGCGTGGAGCGAAACATCGGACAGAACGCAGAACAGCGTGCGGCATTCGACCCGAAAACGCATAGAACTCCACATGTGACCGATCGTGAGGCCTAATGATGATGTAAACACTTTGATGGGATGGCTGAGCTGTCGCTATCAGCGCTTTTATTCACTCCCGTGCATGAATAATAAATGGGCGGACTGTACGCACGATGTGTGAATGTAACATTGTACAGATGCATGGTTGTGTGTGCGTGCAGGGAGCGGGAGTGAAGTGGTTAGCGCACTGCACTACGGACCCGACTTCCCCAGAGTTCGATGTCCGTCCACAGCCAACATCAGTGACGAATATTTCAAAAGTTCGTGGGCTTCCCCGAGGTTAGCTCGGCAGCAATGTGTGAACATCGACACTGGGGAAACAAAAGGCGAAACAGGTGCTGCGTTCCCACGCCTACGATACGTACGGTTGGCTACGTGCAGTGCGAAAGAAGTTCAACATTCATGCATACATTGGACATTTGTGAAAACGAGTTTCGTGGCTCATGAGACTCCTCCATAGGTGCTCGCTAACAGCACTTGCCCCGTCAGCCTGGCAAAGGCTACACGGGGGATCTTTGTGCGCCCGTGTGTTACAGAGGATACAATCTATCATCGTAAAATATTAATTTGAATCCAATGAAGCCAGGACCTTGACTCTTGGTTATAATTTGTGTTTTTTTAATCAATGTTAAGCTTGTATGTACAAGTTTTTTTTATTGTTTATAAGCTGATTTATGGGTGGGGAAGTAATGCTCGCGCCACTAACCCGTGGCTTGAATTAGTTGCATAGACGGCAATGAACGGGCACGTGGCCCAGGTGGCTTAACGTGCGAAGCGTCGCTTAAAGTGTGGCTCTTCAACGGGGCCGCATCTGGCTAACGAAAGTCATTGCAGTGGCCGGGCCAGGCTAAGAGATACGGCTCATCGGAGGGGGGGGGGTCAAAGTTCAAAGTTCATTTATTAGGTATAGCCCTGTGAGCCATTCGGCTCTTGAATCGGGTGCAACCACAACAAGCAAAAAACAAAAACATGAACAAGAAAACATCTTAAAGTGACTATGTGCAAACAGAAAATCTAAGAAAAGACAGCAAAATATTGCAGAAAAATCACCGTACACCAATCCTGTGCAAATATCCCAGTGGGATGCAAGTCAAACAACAACCACAAGACAACTTAGATTAAGGCCATCAGTCTAACTCTGGACTACAACAAACAAACATTCGGCTCTTGAATCGGGTGCAACCGCAACAAACAAAAAACTAAAACATGAACAAGAAAACATCTTAAAGTGACTATGTGCAAACAGAAAATCCAAGAAAAGACAGCAAAATATTGCAGAAAAATCACCATACACCAACCCTGTGCAAATATCCCAGTGGGATGCCAGTCAAACAACAACAACCACAAGACAACTTAGATTAAGGCCATCAGTCTAACTCTGTACTACAACAAACAAACATGGCCAAACCAAAAAACTTTTCGAAAATCACCAAAATAAAGCCATAAAAGCAATGAAACAGTGATCATGAGAACTGTGACCGAATTTTCACAATAAACGACGTAAACAACATATACTACCAAACTCTGCAGCCATAGTTGGCATAGTTGGGTGCATGAGTCGCTGCATTAGTCAACTCAGCCAGCATGAGTGTCACAAAGAGATGCCGTTCAGTGCGCTACAGAAAGAGAGAGAGACGAGAGAGAGAGAGTCGTAGGCAAGAGATTTACACATCGGCGAGATGGAAGACGAACGAGAAGTCGAGATTAGCGGTCGCTTATGTGACGCTGATTGACCGATGTGTCCCGCAGGAGAATGGAGTTGAAGAACCTTGGGTTAAAGCTTTCTCCTCATGTGATCCAGATGTCTTGCGATCTTCCTAACTGACCCCTAAAATTGTTTTTGTTCTTTTCGATGTAAAGCTTTCGTGACTGCAGGGATTCATCTTCTTGGTTTTTTCGGTAAAGTCACGTAGAAGAGAAATAATAAAATAATAAAAATTTTACATAATAAAATAGTTCTCCATTTTATTATTTTTATTATTTAAAACATAATAAAATAATTCTCTATTTTATTATGTTTTATTTTTATTATTTTATTATTTCCCTTCTACGTGACTTTACCGAAAGAACCAAGAAGTTGTTTTTGTTCCTTTGCATATTCATTTCTGTTTAAAATAAACAAATATTACGTTTGGTTTACGTTGATTCGACCGGGTTTCCCAAAAGGGTCAGTCCCTCGCGACCCACCATGAATCCAGCTCTTGCAAGTTTACCCAAAAGCTCCGTTCATGTGCGGTATCAATCGACTGCGTCACACGCTGCCCGTGCCCGATGCTTGGTGAAGTGCGACGCCG